CCATCAAACATCTATGTGGGCTTTCTACATAGCTCTAACCTGAAGCTTTGGAAATGTCTGTTAAACTACTGGAAAGGTTTGGCTCCATGTCGTTTTATTCCTGTTGCACTTTCTACCCCACTTTTCCCTTCCACTCAGCTTTGCAGGGCTTTCACAACCATTTCCTCAGCAATGACCTTTTGCCTTGTGGAAGGCATCAGTGGTTTTCTACAAGCCAAGAGTCACGGCAACAATCATCCCCAAATGTAATGTTTTTTTTTTTTTTTGTGGTGATGCAATATTAAAAACAGACCTTTGGTCCTTATAGCTGTAAGCCAAAACAATCAGATAAAAACTAAATATTTGAAATGCATCACTGCATAAAATGACCAGACATGTTTTTTTTTCCAAATTTGTAAAGAGACTTGGTGAATAATATAATTTAAAATTACCGTAGTTGTCAAACGCATTCTGAGACCACATCTAAATCCAGAGTTTCTAACAAGCTACTAATCAATTTGTAAACGATTCTTTATCAGCTGCTTTCAGTTGTTAAAAGACAACATTTGAAAACATTCAGCCATTTTCATCATAAAAGCAAGACAAACAGCCCTATTCGGGGTTACATGATCTTAGCAGTTTAGATTGCAAAGAAGTTCCTATTTCTGAGGCCTCTAACCCATAGGGACTAGTCCTTTCATTTCTGCATTTGCTGTCCTTGCACTGACTCATTGGAAGAAGGGTCTTATAGGTTTGTTGATGGAACACAGTTCAGCTTCCTGAATATTAGCAATCGGATGCAATCAAGTTTCATTTTGACCCAACAGTTAAACAGATACGCCAATTTTTGCCCGAATGAGAACTGGAGCAAGACGGCACAAGTTTCTTGGCAAAAAATACTCCAAAAAACTGTGTAATGGAAAGCCAGGGATTGTGTTGGAAAAACGGTGTTTGCATTTGAGGGGTTTAATCATTTCCATCTAAAAAAGAAAACCTTAGAAAAACTGATCGGGTGAACTCTTGTTACAGAACGTGCAGTGGCGGTTCTAGACCAAATCTACCAGGGGGCCATCGTGTTTCATGGGGGCAGAGAAAAGCATAAAAAATAACAATAAAATCAGGGCTAGGGATTCAAATATATTGAGAGATGCATGAAGTGAAATTTCTATTCAATTAGGTTTAATTAAAATTATGTGTCTTATTAGGTCAATATACATTCAGAATTTAGGAATTTTACATATTTTTTTACTTAATGTATGTAAAATTACCGTTTTCTATAAACTCTTAATTAAAATGGAAGAAAAAAAAATTATGAATTCAGCTGTAAAAATTAGAGCTATTTGTTTAAAAAAAAAACATTTAGCAGATGCAAACTGGGATCTTATCTCAATCCCACTGAAGCCATCATCTTATTATTTTTAAAATAATTAGTAAAACAGATTTTATAAGGGGAAAAAAAGTAATAGATCCAAATCAGCTATCAGTAACTATGAATGTTCCAGCGCAGATCATCATTAGAATTTCTTTGAGTATTATGTCTTCAGTACAGGGGCCAGGACATAATCTACAGGGGCACTGGCCCCCGTTGGCCCCTGTCTAGAACCGGCCATACGTGGTGTGTGTATTTGTGATAAAAATGGGCTGGAGAGCTGATTATTAGTCTAAAGTTGTGTTCTTGGGTGTGACGCCCTTAAGGGATAACTAAGCAACGATTAAAAAAACACAACAATACATCAAACTAAAACAAAAAGCCTTCACATTTCGAAATCGAACTATAGAAAAGTAAACCTGTAAAACTGAACCAACTCGATATGAATGGTATCAGTAAACTGTGAGTCAGTTTGGTTAGCGAGAGGATGTCTGCTGCTGAAGATAAACCCATCAAGCTGCTGTTAAAAACCACCACAGTACTGCGGCTGATTGCGATAATGATCTAGGCTTATCCTCAAAGAGTCACTGAAAATAAAACACTGTCACAATTTAAGCCAGTTGAAAAAACCTAAGATCAGCTTCCTAAGCGCGAGAACATGATACGCTAGTAGCGGCTAACTGCTAATGCTGTCAGATACAAGAGCCGATTAAAGATAAAGAAAGGAAGCATACTTACTAGAACATTTGCGCTATTGTTGTCGCTTTCAGCCATTGTCACTAAAGTGAGGCGTTCGCGTTTGGGAAGTGAACTTTTTTTAGGTTCTTTTCGAAGGAAACGACCAGCAAGCCCGGGGATTACAACACCCTCCACCTGCTGCAACAGCGTCTCTAACGGTCGAACTGACGCAGAAAAGCTTTATTTGACTGCGTCACACCCTCTTCCCCTTTGCATCATGGGAAATGGTGTTTTATATGTTCGAAAAGGATCAGTTCAATCTCAGCACGTTTTGATCATACAAGGTGAAATAGTACATTATTTAAAATGGGAAAACATCCAACAGGAAATTGTGTATTTTGTTTTCAAGAAGAGACAGTAAAACATGTTTTGTTAGACTGTTCTAAATATTCTGTTGAGAGGAGGGAATTAGTTGTCGATTACAAGAAAATAGATAGATACAAGATATTTTGGATAAACTTTCTACTTCTAAATGTTTATTTATTTTTTTATTTAATGAATTACCTTAAGAAAACGAAATTGAAAGAATATAAGATTTGTTAACTTAATTATTATAATTTTATTATTTTTTGTTTTTTTGTTTTGTGGGAGAATTTATACATAGCATCCCGATCCACATTCCATTCCAGTAGATGGCAGTAATGCACTTCAACGAGTTGTTTGCCAACCACCATGAAAAAAAGAAGAAGAAATTAAAATCTGTGATCAGAAAGCATCAGTTTTTTTTACGTTACTTCGTCTACAACCATAGTCCATGTACGTATAAAACGCCTTTTTCGACATTGTTCTATATTTTTGCCTCAAAATCAAGATAAATACTTTTTTATGACATGTATTATAGATTAATTATTATTATTACATGTATAATGTAGGATTAGGGCAACTGAACAAATAAATAAAGTGAACTGATTTTTAAATTTTATTTCAGTTTAATATGGGAAAACAAGTCAGAATTCTAAGATGAAAGTCAGAATTCTGGGAAAAAAAACTGAAAAAACAAAAACAAAAAACAGTTAACTTTTTTTTCTCCAGTGGCCCTATTCCTCTTTCGTAATAATAAGAATACATTCATATGAATTTTCCGTCTGTGTGAAGATATACAATGGGAATACAATTAACTGGCAAGCTCTTGAATCTAATCTATTAACTTTATGTTCCTTCTGGAAACGTGAAGCTGCAGAAAGATGTAAAAGAAATGATGAACACATCCATTCTTCTAACTGGGCTTATTTTCAGTATGTTCTATCAAGTTTGAATGTGTCAAAATTTGTTTGCTGAATCATTTTTTTTCTTCTTTTTAAACTACAAAATAAAATAAAAAAATGTATTTAAAAAATTCCCTGCTGGGTTGACACAAGAAGTGTTTGAGGCTCGGTGGATGGTCGTTTGGTGCATGGCGCGTGTTTTGAAGCTGCTTATGGAGAAATGTCTTGGGCCGTGAGTAGTGAGGAAACAGGAAGCGATTCTTGTGGGATGGAAGAGGGAAATAGTGACAATGAAGGTTGGAAAATAGCAACATCAAAAAATGAGAAAAAGCGGAAAAAACAGAGATCAGTTCAAGGGGAATCTAGTTCAGAACAATCCAGTGATGATCATTCCATACATTCCACAGCACAACAAAATGAATTCAAAGTCATATTCAAAGTCGTTAATCAGGCAGACTCTTTTACAAATTGGAATCCGGTTCACTTAACAAAAACCATCAATAAACTTGTCGGAGAAGTCAAAGGTGCCAGAATTCTGTACAGTGGAGACCTGCTAATTAACTGCAGAGACAGCGCCCAGCAAGGCAAAGCAATACGTATCAACAAAATTGACGGGATAAGAGTTCAGTGCAGCCTAATGGAGAACAAAAAGATCAGCAGGGGAGTCATTGGAGGAGTTCCTCTAAAAATTTCTGAAAAAGAGATTCTGGAAAACATAAGCGGTGCAAAAGTAAAAGAAGTAAAACGGTTAAAAACAACAAGAAACGGAGAAAGATCTGACAGTTTATCTGTGCTAATTAAATTCGAAGAAGAGCAATTACCAAGCAAAGTATTCATCGGTTACATAAGCTATAATGTCAAAATCTACAATCCTCCACCATTGAGATGTTTCAAATGCCAAAAATTCGGTCACGTTGCAGCAGTTTGTAAAGGGAAACAGAGGTGTGGAAGGTGTGCAGGAGAACATGAGTACGGAAAATGTGGAAAAGAAGCTAAAATAAAATGCTGTAATTGTGGTGGAGAACATACTGCTGCCTATCGCGGCTGTGAAGCAAGCAAAAGGTCTGAGGAAATTAAAAAAATGAAATTTGAGCTCGGAATAACCTACGCTGAAGCTGCAAAAAGGATCCCATCTCAGTCAGAAAAACCCAAACCTACAGTTCAACACACAGCAAATTCCAAACCTCTAGAGAAATCTCCAAAAATTAATGAAGACTCACTTATTGTTAAAAAGACAAATTTTGTTCTTTTCATGGTAGAAGTAATTAATTGTACTGCACAGACAACAAAAAAAACGGAAAAAATCAAAATAATAGTGAAAGCTGCAGAAAAATATCTGGACATTAAAGATTTGAACTGGGAGATGGTTGGAAGTATGATGGGAGGACCGATGGGACCATCAGAAACTGGCAGAGTTAAGATGACCTAGAGTAAATTAAAATTATATGGGCAAATGTGATTTAGTATTATGTTGGTTTAAGTTACACAGGTTTTTTTTTTTTTTTTTTTTTTTTTTTTTTTTTTTTTTTTTTTTTTTTTTTTTTTTTGGGGGGGGGGTGAATCGTTTCCTGTTATCTTGCTTTACTCCATATCAGTTGGTGGCGGTAATGCACAATTCACAAGTCTGCCAACCGCCATAAAATCCCATAAGAAGAAGAAGAAGAAAAAATTCCCTCCGCACCTGAACGCCGCAGTTTGAACGCGCAATCTTACGTCTGACGTAAGCAGGTTTCATCGTGTAGATGCAAAGCGGAGCTGTTAGCTGAAGCTAGCAGCGGTTTCTTTAATTTTTCAACACTTTTGAAGAAACGGTTGTTGTTGAGTCATTTTTTGGGGTTCGTTTGTACGAGAAGTAATCAAATATCTGACAGTAAACCAACCCGTTTTATTCGTTCTCCTGGAGAAAGAGCGCTGGTACGTAATGATTACGTTAGCTAGCTTAGGTGGTAATAATAGTTTCTAGGGCCTGTTTCTTAATTTACCAAAATCCAGGTTAAACGTAAACGTCTGTTGGCTGTTTAGATAATTGTTCGACAAGGATGATAAATATGAGTTTAAGGTCAATTTCGTTTTGAGTGAGATAACTTTTATCAACGTTATTCACTAAAACCAACTCCGACAGGCCTGATTTGTCGCACGTGTTAAAGAGCTACAAATAGCTCTGTTTTTCTGACATAAATTTGAATTAGTGGTTAGATTGTCCGTTGGGAACAATAAGATGGAATGAAATGTCATTAGATGCTTGAAATGTTAAGGACCACACCACACAAAGGAAACCGTCAAACAAAATGTCTCCCGGAGTTATTGGCACCTGGGTTGGTGGAGATGTCGTTTCACTCTTTTATTAGTTCTGAACCTTAATCAGCAAAAGTCTTTGAACTAAAGTTTATGATGGAAGGGTGGGGAAGGTTTTCTATGGATACTGTGTACGGTGTATCGCATAGCTTTGTGTTGAGGACATTATTTGTCAAAATGCTTGATTTCTTCTTGATGTTTGCCGTTTAAAAAATAGCCCTTGTGAGAATTTATGTGACTTTTGTATTGTGTGTATTTTGAATAAGTAGAAATTTATTTGAATAAATCAAAGTATGTTGAGTCCAAATACAAACAAATGGCGTGAAGACGGGTTGTAAAGGAATAAAACTTCCTGGGTTTGGCAAAAACTTGAGCAGCAACATTTTCAAATGGGAAATAAAAGCTATTAAATCTGAAAGTTACACAATGGGTTATACGATAATCTAAAACCATGCATTGTTAGTCCTGGAGGTATTATTACATAGGTATATTTGTCGTATTTTTTAAAGATATTTGGATTAATCAAAAAACTAAATAATAAAACTAGCATCTCCTAATTGCAATGACCATAAGTTTTTTTAAGTCTCCATTAGTGTTAACCTTTGGCAACAAGTCTCATAATCTTTTAATTTACTAAACATGTTAGTTTAAATTTAAAGATTAATTCCATGGAGAAAAAGGGAAATGGTAATTTTGGTGTTAACTGTATGCTGATGGTGAATTAATGTGACCAAAACTTTATTATAAACTTTATTTACTGAAATAAAATTTTGTAGGCGTTTCAGTTAAACATTCAACAGATGACATTTGATTAATATTTTCATTGCCCCTTTTGTTCGGTCTAAAAAAAGATCACATGGATCACAGCTTTTAAAACTGTGACAAAGACTTTTCAACATTCAAATGAAAAATGGTTTATTTTTTAAAGTAGAGATTAGAAGGGATGCATTTCTTACTAGAAAGATTTTTTTTTTTTTTTATGGAAATCAGGCCTTGACCATGTTAAGTATTGATCTTGTGTATTAGACCAATTAATTTTCATTATACAGATACCTGAAATCATTAGCAATATGCCATCGGGTTGATTTTTTTCCTTGTTTTAAAGTCGTCAAATTTTACTTCTGGTTTTAATGGTAAGCTGTAACTTTGTTGTTAACTGTAATTTTTAAAAACAAAGAAGGAACAAATGTTGTTTTAAATTTCTTATAAGAAACTCCGCAAACTGAAACCTGCAATAGCAAAAGAAACGTTTGAGGGTCTTGCGCCTCAGAATTTGAAGGAAAAAAAAGTTTGCTTTTGACTTAATTACAGTGACATTCCTGTTCATAGACTAAAATAGATTTGCATTGACGTTCTTACTTGACTGGAATATAATAAATAAGAGCTTGACATAGAATACATTTCTAATGGGTTGAGACCAGTTAGTTTTGATGAACTATGATAGAACTTAAATAAAACCAAATGTCTTCTTGTTGTTTATGTATGTTCTTAATTGAAATCATGGAACCACATCTGATAATAGCAGATTTGATGTAAAAACAATACATAACTGGTTAACATTTTTTCTTTTTTGTTACATTTTTCTTTCTCCATTTAAATCCAGAGCCATGTACAATGGTATTGGCCTGACAACTCCCCGGGGCAGCGGCACCAATGGCTACGTGCAGCGCAACCTGTCGAGCCTGCGGGTCAAGAGGCCACGAGATGAGCGTGGAGGCGAGCGGGATGAGAAGGACCGTGAGCGACTGGAGAGTCAGCTCAATCGGCAGCCCAACGCCGACATCCTGGAGCACCAGCGCAAGAGACAGCTGGAGGTCAAATGTGCCGAACTGCAGGACATGATGGAGGAGCAAGGGTAAAAGATAAAACAGAAAAGCTTTCACCCACAATGAACATATCCTGTTTTAACACCTTTCATTGATTTCATGTTCAATGGGGAGTAAATTCAGATTTGTGTATCTTCTGCTGTTCAGATATTCTGCTGAGGAGATTGAGGAGAAGGTGAACAGTTTCCGCATGATGCTGAAGGAGAAGGAGGAACCGTCTCCTGCCGCTGCTCAGAAACCGACGTAAGTATGACACTATTTATGTACACAACCTTTATTTATGTAGTCTCCCTGTAAAAAAGGAAAATAATAATACTAAAAATAATAATGTTGGCTTGGATTCATGTTAAAGCCATGTCGTACAAAGTACTTTTTAACTTTTTAAACTTTTTAAACAGCATCAGCGACCAGAGGTTGCGTGCAACAGGACTGTTTTGTTCACTTGCAGTCAGTTTCTGTGAATGAACTGGGTCAGTTTCTGCAGGGATGTGTTTTCATGTATAATATTGTCATTATGTATAGAAATATGCAAGAAAGATAAACAGTTTCAGTAGGTTTTCCTCCTTTAATGTGATCCAGAATTCTGATGACTCTATTAAGAACGTATTTAAATCTCTTAGAGCAGGGGTCTACAACCCAAACTGTTTAAAGAGCCATTTTGGACCAAAACATTTCACATACCTGCATCAGAGCGCTACCTGTTTGATCTGTGGACGGTTTTTTCATGCTTGAAACAGAAGTTCTGCAATCGTATTCTTTCTCTCTCTCACACACAACTTTGTGATCAGCGGCATATTTTTAACTTCCCTGGAAATGCCTTTACAAATTACAATTTTTATTATTTTTACAAAATTTTGTGCCAAAGGAAAAATGCAGACAATCCTTCCGCATTGATAATGAAAGCAAATAATTTGGTCCATTCTTCTAGGAATCCTCTGTTCTCATCGGTTACCTTCCTTTTTTTTTCGCTTTGAGATCCATGGCCCAGGACACGCCTGTTGTTTTCTTTACCTGGTACCGTGCCATGCTGGGTCATGTTGCAGGCTTTCACCACTGATCTCTATGGCAATGACACACATTTTTGTTGAAATAAATGTTTACATATATTGTTTAAATGTATTTATAATCCAAATGTTTACAGCATTGGAAAACACAACGAATGTCTGTTTGACCTCCTGCACACCATATTAAAATAAATCAAAAAATTAATTTTTTAAAGACCTCCAGGGAGCCGCAATTAGGGCGCTAAAGAGCCACAGGGACTGAATGGTTTACTGACATATAAGATTAAAGTGTGTACATTGATAAATCCAGATTATTTTAGAGTTTCATTTATTGTTTACTCCCTAACAGACTTTTTATTATGTTGGAAGTATTAATTTAGAAAATTCAAAACTTTTTGTCTTGGTCTCGTTTGTTTTTAATAAAAGTTCCAGTGTTTAAACAGTGATGTGTAGATCAAAATTAAATTAGATTGCAATTTTTTTTGTCTCAGGCAGAGGGACGCCGAACCTTATTTGCTCATCAATCTATTTTGTCCCATTTCAGTGTGACAGAGACGCACGCCCTAGCTGCAGCCAACCAGCAGAAGAACGACCGTCTTCGTGCTGCCTTTGGTATTTCCAGCGATTACGTGGATGGCTCGTCTTTCCACGCCGACCGCAAGGAGAAGGAGAAGGAAAAGAGAGAGCAGGAACGTCTGGAGAGGGAACGGCAGCAGCAGCAGAAATATACGTGAGCAAGACCTATGGATCTTAACTGCTAAACGGGTCCCCCATTTTTACCACCGGGTTATAATGTCTCTGTGTTCGGCAGCTTGGTGGAAGTTTCTGATGACTCCGATTCTCCTCCAAAGAAGCGCAGTCGGAAGAAGAAAAAGAAAAACAAGAACAGAGACAGGTGAGTTAATAACACTGATTTAATAAAAGGGAATGGATACTTATGAAGGGGCCATCTGACATCGTTTGGATTGATTTTAAAGCAGCTCAGACAGTTCGTCCCCATCTCCTCGCAAAGAGAAGAAGAAATCCAAAAAGAAGAAAAAGAAACGGTAATCCTTTACCACATTTCCTGTATAGATTTTATATTTCTCCTGCTGTACGTAATTATCTGGCGATACTTAATCTGACTCTCTTTGTTCCAGGGAGGTATCTGAAGACGAAGATGACAGGTTTGTGTTTTTGAGCTAATAAACATCTATTATATCAATTATGTTCATCGGGTTTATCTTTGAATTTGTGCTTAATGTTCCATCCTTTGAATTTTAGTTCCTCGGATGAGAAGCAGAAAGTCTCAAAGAAGAAAAGAAAAAACAGTGGAAGTTCTAGTTCTGCGAAAGCCAAAACTGGGCGAGGCAGAAGCGTCTCCTCTAGCTCAGATCGGAGGTAATCTCAAATATCTTCAGGACCACATCTTGGCGCGAGACACTTTAAAACAATATCACTTTTGTTATTACATCGAAGGCTCTTGATAATGAAAAGTTTGTTTTAGTTGACACACATTTAGCATAATTTTTTTCTCCATCTAAAAGTTTTCATTAAAAAGCATTTTATTTACTCAGGAAGTTTGAAAAGGGAAAGTCTTATAGATTAATTACATATTACATTATTCCTTTTTATAGTCATAAAAAGAAAATTTACATTAAATAAGAGCAGTAAAAAATTATCTGAGAATAATCATTACAGTTAGCAAAAAAAGGCTTAAATCGATCGATGTTTTCTAAGTGTTGTAATTAATCAAGAGGCACCTCTGTTGATAAAGAGCATCCTGAAATATAAGAATGTCTGACTTTTCTACAGACAAGACGATAAACTACCCAAATAGTAGATAAATATTGTTGAATATGTGTATATAAAATATATTTATATTTTTTTTAACTCTTAGCAGCAGTCAGTCTCCACCATCAAGAGGTCATCTAAAAGACCAAGCTGCAAAAAATGCTGAACGTAGGAAGGAGAGGTCACCAGTCAGGAGGCGACAAGAGTCTGAGGACCGCAGCCCCCAGAGGAGGCAGCAGGTTTGCAAGGAGCCCAGCCCCCAGAGGAGGCGGCGAGGGTCTGTGGAGCCCAGCCCCCAGAGGAGGCGGCGGGGTTCCGAGGAGCCCAGCCCCCAGAGGAAGCGGCGAGGGTCTGTGGAGCCCAGCCCCCAGAGGAGGCGGCGGGGTTCTGAGGAGCCTGGCCCCCAGAGGAGGCGCCAGGGTTCTGAAGAACGCAGCCCCCAGAGGAGGCGGCGTGGGTCTGAGGGGCGCAGCCCCCAGAGGAGGCGGCGAGGGTCTGAGGAGCGCAGCCCCCAGAGGAGGCGGCGGGGGTCTGAGGAGCGCAGCCCCCCACGTCGAGTAGAAGAAGGGGTGAGCCTGCATTCACTGGTACAATAGTAATCATTCACTTTCAGATAGCCTGTTTCTATTGTACTGCCTTGAATCCTTCAATTGAATCACTTTGTCTCCACCATCTCCACTGAGCTGTCGTCTGCTTCAGTAAACCAAAATTTTAGATTGTGGAGGATTTGAGGCATGCTGCCACATGCTGTGTCTCATATGGGGTGTTAAAATGTCTGAACACACGAGGCAGAAGATCAGCGCAGTGTTTGAGGGTGGATGGGGAAATATGGAAAGGTCCAGCTGCTCTGCAAGGTTTCTGCCTCTTTAAGAGCTTAACTTCTCTTTTAAATGGCGAAGGGAGGGGGTAGAGTGGGCTAACTGAGGATGGGGGTTGTGGTTGGACTGGAGCTCGCTGGAGGAGACACAGAAGATGGTGAATAGATGACTCAAACCAGTGGTAGAACTGGTTTAACTCGTGCGGGTGATTGCATGAAGTGGCTTGTACCTTGTATTCTGTATGAACCCCAGCCAGACAGATGTGGTGTGCAGCCTGTTGTAACATCCTTGCTAAACCTCTATTTTAATTACCTGGACAAGTCTCTGAAAATAAGGAGGCTGCAGCCGATCACAAAAATCAGCATCTACCAATCGCAGCATCAAATGCATAAATTCTTCATTATTAGGTATCCACATTATATATAAAAGTTTTATGTATTGACCACTATTCTATGATGGAGGCAGCAGAGATGTAACCTGGCACAAATCAGATTGATACATGTAGTTCATTTTGAATTCTACTAAAGGGAGGGGCGACGAATTGTACTGAAATATTTGTGGTACGTCTCGCATGTCGAACTGTTAGCCAATCACAACAGCAGTAGCAGCTGTGACTTTTCACATTCTTGATTTGGTTCACAACTAGCTGAGTTAACTGATAAATCAAATTCTTACCAAATCCAGTCAAGAGGGAAGTGCAAAAATCATTCCCATCCACAAAGGCAAAAATGGCATCTTTTAATAATTTTTCAAAAAGAAATCGTAGGTATTTTATGAAGCAATATAAGTGCCTTGTGCCCTGTTTGAGCACGCAGGAACCAATCTGCTCAACTCACTGTCCTCGCCCTCCGTTCCATCTCTGCGAGCGCTCGACCTGCTCTTTCCGCTTCATAGCTGCACGCTCGGCTGTTTTTCTGCTTGTTCGACTCCGTCTCTGTGCTTGCGACTACATAAATGTATGTAAGTGAACCATACCATCAGCCAGTCACGCTCAGCTTCTTTTCATCCAATTAAAGTATTCGTTCCAAATACTACATCTGGTTTGATGAAAATTTGCCCGATAGGAGGATGGGTGGTGTCCGCTGTCGAATATAACGCTAAACTAGAATCAGAGCAAAGTAAACTTCTCAATGGAAGGCTATCGGTCACACAACAGAACATAGCAATAGAGCTGCTGAGAGAGAATTCAACAGTATTAAATCGATGGTACGGAAATGGAGGAAGCAAGAAAATGACCAGCACCAATCATTGGCAGTATGCCTTATAATCCAGTGCGTCCAATAGTGCAGATGATGTGGTACCTAGAACTGATCAAAACAGAAGTCTTTGATTAAAAATCTATAACAATAAAATGAAAAGGTGGATACTTTAGTGAAGTTTAAACTGGAATAATTAAAATATGATGTTTGGGATATTCGTCCAAATAGAAATCCTATGCAGGGCTCAATGTTAACCATTGCCCGTAGCAAGTAGTTTTACTTTTCAGGAGAGTACAAATTTCATTGCATTTGCCCGCAAGTGCAAATGCAATGAATGCATTTGCCCGCAAGTGCAATGATCGCAAAAAAAAAAAAAATTATCACTCAAAATTACTTTAAAATCACCGACATTCACTGAAAACGACCCACAAGCGTTGCCGGCGCCATCTTTGATGTTTTGTACACATTCTCGCGTGATTTGAAAAAGCCGCATGATTTTCCACTAGAATTCTGCAGAGCAGCAGCTGGATGATGAATTTAATCTATACTATAATACACGCCAGATTAAAAATGATCAGTCAGGGATTAGGATAATAATATAATAATAATAATAGAAATATTTACATGGTGTGCATACAATTATTATTATTATCATATGGCAGTCTTCTGTACAGTGGTCATACATTAAAAAATGTCATTACAATTTTTCTCTTAGACATTTGAGTGGTGCATTTAAATGTTATAGAGCTAAACATGTTAAATTGGTGAGTAGTAGTAGTGTAAGTTTTTAACCTGCTTTTTTTTAGATTTTTAAAATTACAATTTATATTTTTCCAAGCACAGAACAGTTTAAAGTTTAGTTTGAAATGAATGTGCAGGAAGGATTGAAAAGCATGTTAACACGGTAATGTAGGCTGGAGTTCATTATCTGACGCATGCAGATACACACCAGGAACTTTTAAACTTACTGAATTATAAAAAACATTTAAAAAACAAACATGTTTCATTGATATATATACAAAAATGAATATTAGGAACTATATTTATCAAACATTATACTGGGCAAGTAAAAATTGTTTCTGGGCAAATGAAATGTGAAAGTAGGGCAAGTGGTAAAAATCCTTAACGTCATTCCCTGCTATGTACTTTACCCCCAAAAAGTATCACTCGGGTACAAGGAAAATCTAAGCTCTTACCTCTTCATTAGGGTCTTGTTCTACCCAGAGGATCTGCTTTTCTCATGTAACATTTAGTGAGGATTTATTTGGCTGCTTATGACTCAAACTCTCCTGGGAATTACCAAAGTGAAAACATAGCTAATTTCCTAGTTTTGCAACATGTAGGGTAAAAATGTTTGGAAGGATGATTTCAAAACATTTGAAAGTTCTTTTTTTTTTCTTCTTTTTTTTACACAGAGGAGGCCTAATTCTGAAAGGGAAAAGGAGCAACGTAGGGAGACGGAAAAGACCAAACGGAGACATGACTCCTCATCCCCCTCTCCTTCTCCAGAAAAAGAGAAAAACATTGATGGAGGGAGAGAAAGAAGATCTAGAAGCAAACAAAGGGAACGGGACAAGGGCCAGACTAGGAACATGGAGATGGATACAAGAAAGCAGTCCAAAAATGCAGAGTTGGACAAGAGGAGGCGATCCAGGAGTGTAGAGATGGATAAACGTGAACCAAATAGAAGCAGTGACTCTGAGAAAGGGAGGCGGTCAAGGAGTATAGAGATTAGGAACAAAGGAAAGGAGAGCCCCTTTCAGAGGATTAGGCGGGACCCCTCTTCATCATCTCCTTCTCCTCCACCTCAAAAAGACACAAGGGGGGAAAGAAGCAGAATCCCTGAGCGTGAAAAAGACAGAAACAAACTGCAAAGAACAGCAAGACACGACTTTTCATCTCCTTCCCCTTCTCCTGAAAAGGAGAGGACAAGGAAAGGAAGGAGTAGAGATAAAGAACGTGCAACTGAAAAAGACATTCAGTCAACGTTGCGCACACGAAGTGAAAGAGACATTAAAGAGGCTGAAAATCTGGATAGACGACCCTCTCCTCCCCAGGAGCGAGGCGACATAAGGGGCGGCCATCTGGCTCGTGACTCCCCATCGCCCAAGCGCTGTCAGTCCTTTACCAATGGAAGCCAGCTTGAGAGGGAGCATGAGCGAAGACAAACAAACAAGGAAAGATCAACAGATAGGTACTTAAATAAACAGAGGGAAGAAAGTGGAGAAAAAAGGAGAAAGGAAGCTCAGGTCCAGTCATCAGTAGAGGATAGGAGAGACGGGTCAAAGCCTTCGGAAAGATCACGGAGCGATCCACAGGAGAAGTTGAAAAGCCCAGTGAAAGAGAAAAGGCGAGAGGACAAAATAAAACAACCCGAGAAACGACGCGAAAGCAGCAGCAGTGGCAGCAGCAGCAGTAGCAGTGACAGTGACAGCTCATCATCATCCTCCTCTTCGTCTTCATCATCCTCTTCTTCATCATCTTCTTCTGAAGATGAAGGCAACTCCAATAAAGTTGCGTCACAGGAGCGGGAAAGAGATGTTCCCAGGAAAAGCACTGCATCTGCCATAGGAGCTGCTGTTGAACGGTTTCTGGCCAACGGGAAGAAGGAAGGCTCTCTCTCAGCTTCGGAAGTTGATGGAGCCAGACGTCCCCTCAGAGACCGGGAACCAGAATGGGACAAACCTGAACGTGAAAGACCTCCTCTCAAAGAACCCACAGAAGATGGTTCTCCACAGGGAAAGGGAAAAGAGCGTTACAGTCCCACTCAGGTAGAGAGCCGCAGCCCATCCCCCTCCCCACCCAGCAGACCAGAAAACAACAGAGGCAGAAGGTACTCTCCTGAGACCAAAACTAGTGACAGGGAAAGGGCAAAAGACGAGGATGCCACCAAGAAGACCACAAGATCTAGCCCCACTGAAAGTTCACCGTTTCCTCCACAGAGGACCTCCACTGTCCCACCAGCCACCAGAACACCACCAAGGCAGTATCAAGAACCCCCACCACGGTCCAGAAGACCGTCCCCTCCTTTAGCCCCGAGAGAATGGGAGAGGGGAGGGAGAAGGAGCAGGTCCAGAAGTGCCAGGAGGCGCAGCAGGAGCCCGAGGAGACGCAGTGGATCTAGGCCTACAAGTCTAAGGAGGCGTAGCGGGTCTAGACCCAGAAGTCCCAGGAGGCGTAGCCGGTCTAGACCCAGAAGTCCTAGAAGGCGTAGTGGGTCTAGGCCCAGAAGTCCGAGAAGACGCAGCCGGTCTAGGCCCAGAAGTCCCAGGAGGCGAAGCGGTTCTCGCCCCAGAAATCTGAGGAGACGCAGCGGTTCTCGTCCCAGGAGGCGCAGCGGTTCTCGTCCTAGAAGTCCAAGAAGGCGCAGCGGTTCTCGTCCCAGGAGGCGCAGCGGTTCTCGTCCCAGAAGTCCCAGGAGGCGCAGCGGATCTAGGTCGAGAAATCTGAGAAGGCGCAGTGGGTCCAGGCCCATATCCAGACCTAAAAGTCCAAGAAGGCGCACAAGATCAAGGTCCAGGAGTCCAAGGAAGCGCAGCGGATCCACTTCAAGAATCCTCAGAAGGCCAAGTCCCCCCAGCAGGTAATAGAGGAATGTCATCAACATGTTGTCTATACTTTATATGTTGTTATGAATGAAAATCAACTCTCATATTATTAAACTTGGATTTTATATTAATATCTATATTGTAGCAACAAAACTAAGCAATATAAGTTTTGGTGATGACCGTACAAAGGCTCTGTCATTGTGAGCAAATTGTAAAACCATTCTGTAACCGTTTTTATGCTCTTACCATATAGACCTTCTATGTTCCAACTGAACAGCCAGGCCACATACTCCACAGTCTGCAATCAGATGTCCTTAATGCATTTTTCTGAATGTAGCACCAAGCTAACCATAACCAAAAGCTGGCAGCAGCCACTCCTAAGCACCCACAGTGGCTCGGCTGCTCCTTCCACTTCACTTACTGCTGTGTGAAGAATCAACTTAAAGGCTGACTCATTTTCTTATATTTTTGTAAAGCTAGGAGGCAAACTCATCTGATGATGTCAGAGCAGTTTGGGAAATGAAGGCATTTGTCGCAGGAAATGCCCAGAAACGTGCAATACGTCCATTATGCACACAGTCCGCTCAAGTCAGCTAGCATAGGCTGTTCAGCACAACTAAGGCCATTTCCCCGATAGGAACTGAAGGAAACCAGAACCGACGAAATAAAACAAATATGACATTTTAAGGAAGGATAATGCAATTTTAGATTGCGGTTGAAGAACAGGGTCTGGAGGAAAAATGTAATGCTAGTCCTGGAATTGGGACTTTCTCTTAGAATTGCATTTATGTCAAATTCTTGTCATTCGGATTCATTGAGACGGCACTTAAGTAAGATAGTGTTCTCTGCATACTTATGGCAATGAAATAGCTTTTGTAACAAAGTCTCTTTTCATTTGTATAATAGTACTTGATTTGAATCATAAGTATGACTCCACTTGCCCATTTCAAAAGCTAAACCACAAATGGGAAGTTAATCATTCCTGCGTATAATCTGTGGTAATTAATACATTGAAAGGATGAAGCTGAAATTGTTAACTTCGTTTTCGTCTCCAGGCTTCGTCAATCTCCGTCTCCACTGAGACGAAGGAGGAGCAGTCGCTCCCTCTCTACAGAGAGGCAAAGGGAGCGTGACAGAGGCCGGCAGAGGGACGAGCAACAGCCTGCAAAGGCAGTCTCCCCACCCCAAAGATCATCCTCATCTTCATCTTCCTCTAGCTCCTCCTCCTCCTCATCTTCCGCCTCTCCCTCACCACCTAGAGCGGTGAAAGATGCAAAAGCTGCTGCAGAGAGGGACCAGAGTCCGGTTCAGGACGAAGGAAAGCCAAAGAGCCGTCCTTCCTCATCACAGGCCCCATCCAGGGACTCCTCCCATGCTGCAGCGTCAGGCAGGAGAAGCTCGCCATCAGATTCACAACGATCTGATGAAATCCCCTCAAGGTCCTCAGCTGTCAGCCAATCAGATGGCAGGCGGGCGCCTCAGGGTCCGACCAGAACCTCGTCGTCACCAACTGCCCACCAGGAGGCGGAGAAAGCTGTCAGGAAAGAAACCACTGTAAACGGGAAGGAGAAGGCCAGCAGGAGCAGCAGCTCTAGCTCCTCTTCGTCGTCCTCCTCTTCATCATCATCATCCTCCTCGTCTTCATCATCGTCATCCTCATCTTCAGATAGCTCTGACTCTGAAGGGGAGGGAGGAAAAGGGTGAGGAGCGTGGCTGAATGGGTCGTGTGTGAGAGAAAGCTGCTGGGCTTCCTAATGAAACGGTTTCCTTCTTTCCAACAGGAAGGCGGTGAAAGCCCAAAGCTCCAATTCCTCCTCTTCCTCATCCAGTGATGAAAAGGAAACAAAGAAAAAGAGGTAATATTAGAAGTAAAATAATTTTCATAATTGCTGCCTGTTCAGCGTCTGTCATCCATCATCCGTCCCATTTCAATCCAGCCATGTTTGAACTACCTATAAACCATTTCCTTCCTTTGCTTCCTGTCTTGCAAAATGTCATTTTATTGTACTGACCTGGGTTAAAATATGTAGATAATTTTCTGTAGGATGATTTAACATTTAAAAAGAAGTCTATTTTCATGTTTGTTTCTTTATTTAGGGGTGCAGTTGGAGATCTTTTCTGATGCTTTTTTTTTTTAGCATGTGGCTTAAAGATCTTTCCCCACAGCCGCTTAGCGAGCAGTGAAATAGAAGGTCTGGAAGTGAAAATAAAATAAATGGGGGTCGACTGATGGGCCGCTGACTGTACCGGACCTTAGCAGAGAGCCATGAGCTGTCCTCAGCCGGAGGAGGGGGGCTGGGGACCAGTAAGGCAGGCGGGGGAGCCGCTCAGACCCCCGTACATCGGCGATGCGTTGTCACAAGGAATCCCATTCAACAGCAGCCTCTGGCCCGGTCGCCTCTTTGCAGTTTGCCGCTATGGCTGGAAGTCGTTTTTCATGTCCGTAATCCAAACTTCAGGCACCAGTATAATAAAGTGAACATGTTTTGCCGGCAGATTTCTGCATTTTAAGTTAATTTAGGTGTTAGTAAACTGTTTCAGAGGAGTGATCATAGCTCTCTGCATCATCAGTGCTGCCCGTCTCCCTGCCAGCAGCTGCTCAGACGCGCCTCAGACAGTATGTGCGTTTGTGTTTTGAAGGCGTGATTTCGAGGGGTGGTCTGAAGGAAGTGGAATGGTTGTGCATGTTCAAAAATATAGCCTGACTGAGCCGTTTTTCCAAGATCTCCTACTTCACCTTTAAGTCGAATATTTGAGTTGCAATCCAGCAGTAACCTAAAGTGTTGTGTTTTTACTCGCAGCCCTGTGCGGCCTCACCGCGTTCCAGCCGATTCTCTGCGGGATTCACGTTCTCTCAGCTATTCTCCTCCCAGACACATCCGACCTGCTCGCTCCTCACCTACTAGAAGGTGTGTATCAGCTCCTCGTTTTCTTTCAAGCATCCAAAAATGCAGCTTTTTCCTTTTCAGGCTCCAATGAGTGATGTATTTTTCAGCCGTTCAGCTCTGACTCATGACTCACTTAAACATAAAATGTTTCCTACACTACAGAAGAACCTATGTTGTTGAAGTTTATTTTCGTTTAATCTTTAAACTCTTTTTTTTAAATAGCTATCCCCCCATTTTTGTAGTTTAACCTCTTAGAAATCCCAAATAACAGTTTGACAGGAAAATTGGATTTCAGCTCCAACAGGGTGATTTAGACGATACATAAAAAAAAAAAACAAAAAAAAAACATAGCACTAACTAGCTTAAATCTAAATAAAATGCCTCTTTGCTCAGACTCAATAAGGCCTCAGATCTTGTAGGTTTTTAGTCCCTGCTTCAAATTAAAATGCACAGCATTATGTCCTGCATAGATCTATGCATCCATAAAAACAAATGCTGCAAACTTTGCAAAACCAGAGGTTATTTTTCTTCACTGCTTCTTATTATCATTTTTTTTTCCCTAGGGATAATCTTAATGTGAAATGTTGATGCTATAAACGAATAAAGTTAACAACTTGTAGCCCACTAGGAACAGGTCTTTCTATTGGAGAGCAGCTGTAAATTGAGTGCTTCATTATTTTAAGACAAAATTATAAAGTTGACATTTAAAATGGTTTAAGCATCTCATATTAGCAATAAGCATTGCTAACATTGCTAAAATATGCAAATCCATCATGGTCAATGTTGAAATTAAAAGATTACATGAATAACATGGAATATTTCTTGTTTGTTTAGCCTTCATTTTATTTTGAACATTAATGTAGTGGCTGTACAGCACTTTATTGCAGCTGCTATTGTTTTATAAGTTCTTTATAAATAAAGGAGTAGTTCCTGTTATTTACTGAAGGTTTAGTTCTGTCTGTCTTGCATGCAGCCTGAATGAATCACAATAACATTTCCTGGTTTATCCCAGAAAATACTTTTATTTCCTACATTTCTGACTCAATTTAAATCACACCAGTGATGCTAAGAAACAGCTTAAATATCAATCCAAATGGAGGAAGTTTCAATATTAAATGTGTTATCTTAACCTGATAGTCTTTATTATGATGTATTCACTCGCTGATAAACATTTAATTTTTGTGTTTTTTTTGCATTTTGGTTATTAAAATCACCGGCTAAGTTCTCTGCTTCTTTTTCAAAAATAACCAAAGCAGTTTTTTAAAAGGTATTGCCACTGGCTCAATTTTCTTATGAAATTAATATGTGATGAACGTCAAAGCAGTGAGTTGTAAAGGAGAGTGTAAACCAGGCTTAAATAATGTTAGAAGTAGCTGAGTAGTTATTCAATCTGATGTTCCTCTTCAGTTCTGAATGGAAAACAACTTTAAGGTGCTGTTGATACTTAAACCCTGAGATAACTTAGCATCTCTAAAGTAGCTCCTAATGATTTTAATCTGTTTATCCTGGTTCTGATTTAGTTTCACCCGTTGTTTTTATTCTGTATAAAGACATCCTAATTCTACAGTGTCAGGGTGTTCGGTCTCTGCGTTAGCTGGATGCTCGTCTGTAAGTTGGATTGTAGATTTCATTGGTGTGTTTTTTCATCAGGAGCAGAGTGTCACCAAGATCCTCGTCAAGCAGCAGGCGAAGAAAATGATCTGAATATCAGGAACACGTCCCTCCTTCTTCTGCTTTCTTGCTGAAATCCTACGAAAGTCTGGACTTGGATCCAGCAGGCAGTAGATGTGAGATTTTTGGAGAACTCCGGACGCAGTAACATTTTTCTTTTTTTTGGTTTTTGTTTTAAGCCGAGACGTTGCAGGCTGCTCTTTGTATTGATGAGCTGATATAACACTCTGTTCCTGTGCTGAATGTCCTGTCCTTCCTGTAGATATGAGCTGTCCGTATTTCGGTTGTTATTGTGTAACAGGTAAATGATTCCATGCAATGTGAGCAGAAACTGAAACTGGGGTAATTTCTTCGGTGAAAATGATTGATCGTAATAATAAAAGTAATTGTACATTTTATTTGAGTGGTTGTTTGATTTTTCTTTTTTTTTCTATATATACTGAGGAGCATTAAAATTGAATCAGTTATGTTAGGATTCTAAAAAAAAACTCATCTGTCCATGTTGGTTTGAAACTAAAAGCTAAGTCTTTATCTTTAGGTGTCTTTTTAAGAAGAAAAAATCACATCATGCACTCATATCAGACTAAATTGGCTAAAATGATCAGATAAAATGGAAACTTTTGACATGTATTGGTGGACATGGAGGCAAAGCTCTTTGGAAAAAAACATTTCAGAGGTTGCTGACGATAAATTTCAAATTAAGAGAACAGTTGTGGTAAATTCAATTATCACCCAACATCATTAACAGGATCTGCTATATTAGGAGTGTAATTATATTTCTGAAATGACAAATTGTAGGTGTATTGGTATAACAGAAAATCAACAGACATTTCTAACATGCCAGTGATCATGTGAATTTGAGTATTAATGTGTAGTCCAGTGATTGAAGTCATTCATCCTGTCAAACAGGTGAGCCTGATCCATGAACGAAGGAAGTACACTATTATGATGCTGTTTTATAAATGTTTCAATATCATTCAGAAGAACATCACAGTTCTGGTTGGAGAGGAAGAACTGATTCTGGATAAAGCAACAAAATTCAGGAGGAAAAACTGAAACAATTCCTTCCATGGATCAAGAAGCAGCACAGGGAAAAGTATAAGGCTGAAACAAAAGAATCCTGATATATTTTTTATAACCTTTACCTGATTAAGTACGGTAAATTAAATTAATACCTAAAATGCAATTTCCCAGTAGAAAAATATATTTTAGGCACAAATTAAAACATTTTTTGTATGTAGTACATATATTTTTCCACTTTTTGCCATTTACACTTCATATCAAATGCTTAAATGTTTTTTTTTTTTTCAAACTAAAACATTTTTTTTCTATCTAGAAATGTTAATTTACTAAAGTATCTCTTTTTAGGATTATATACAGTGTATAACTGATTGCTAAATGATGGACAGCCGCAGGTCCAAGCACTTAACTACTAGTGATACTGCTACCCATTCCAGTTGATAGAGCGCCTATCTAAATAACACCTGTTTAAAGCAGAGATAAGGCCAAAAAATGGCCCCCTGCTAGAAAGAGACATATTAATGAGATTTTGGTCACTTTTTTAAGCTTGAAAAGAGATGTAGCCATTAAATGGACTGATAAGAGCCATTATACTTTCAGGGACAAAATGTTTTAGAAGTTTAGTCAGAAAACTCCAAAATCCTAAAATTCCTTTAGCACGGTGGCAGAGTCATCATGCTGTGTTGTCAAGCATATTTGTTACAAACCAGGGATCACTAATAAGTTTGACTGCACCAGCATGAAGGGTTCACACTTAGACTGCAAAGGAAATACCCAGGATGATGAAATATGTTTAAACAAAACATTAACCCCTAACTAGTGGATCCCAGAGGGAGCAGGTATGAGAATAAAACAGGACCTATTATGGAGCCTTGAGATATCCCTTATTTAAGAGGCATAACAGATAAGAGCTGTCCCATTTTGGTCAGAGAAACATCTGTTGGATTAAACTATTTAAAAGGTATAGTGGAGGATTTTTGCACATTTTTGAAAAGACCCACCCTCTCCACTTAAAAAAAAAAATGCACATGCACAACCCTGTACCAGCTCCCGAGAGGGAACACTTACCGGTATTAGGCGTGTGCAAAAACGTGCGCGAGCCTTTTTCTCCTTGTGCACGCTCTGTTTAAAAGTTTCTGTTTGCTCTTTTTCTGTATCACTCATACAGGCATACTTTCCAAAAGGTTTACAATTTTTCCACTATGTCTGACTCACTACCAGTAAGTGAAAATGGGGACGAGCGCGTAGGACGACCTTACGTAAACATATCACCAAAATGATTGACAGTTAGGACCACTTAATTTGATGATCCACCTGGAAAAGAACATCCTCCACTATACCTTTAAGACTCTGACATTAATGTTGACGAAGTCATGATCAAGCATGTAGAATCAATATCTGAACTCATAAGTGCAGTTTCAGTACTACAAGACTTAAAACCACATTCTTGGAAAGTTTAGAAAGAAGGTGATTTGAAAATATGCCAAACAATTTCAGAGAGCTCATTCATACCGCACAGAAGAACTGGTTGGACCACAGCGTGTTTAAAAGCTGACGACACCTTGCCAGTAAATTAGTTTCAACAGAAAAATAAAAACCCTTAGACAGCAATCTGAAGACTGACAGGAAGCAACTGGGTGAAGTTGCAGCCAGGAAGCTGATGTCCACATCAGTGTCTGTCATGTCAAATCAGAATGGAGCAACAACCCAGATCAGTGTTAGTTGGAAATTCTACATTTTCTACATTATTTCAAAATCTCACTTTGAAATGTAAACTTTTAATAAAATAAACCAAAATACCTGCTGTGACCTCACGGGTCCTGGGGTTTTGTTTTGTCTGCTGTGAATAGCAGCTTTATATCTGTTTTTGTTCCCCCTTTTCTCAAAAATTGGCTCCCGATTGCTTAGATTTAGGTCTGTACTTTGACTAGACCGTTCTCACACATAAATGTAATGAAATCCATTCCATTGCAGCTCCTGCTATATTTTTAGGCTGTCATCTAAAAGGCTGTCAGGGTGTTAGAACTTTAGTTTGGCTATTTGTGCCTATTTGATTTTAAACTTTTAAGAAAGAGGTGTTTAATAAGATGTTCGTTGTTTTACTCCTTCTGCAAACAAAAATGTGTTCTGGTTTGAAACCACTCTGCAACTTTCTGGATCACCCAACATTTCATACCTGCTTTGACAACCAACAGAGCATATTATTTTTCGCTCATACTGAATAATAACATATGTGTCTATTTGAATTTGATAAATAACATTTACAAGAAAATGTTAGATTGTAGTTACATTGGTTTAACCTGTGGTCATGATCTCTTATATTACTAATATCGATTGGCCTTGGTAGGAAAAATATTCAGCAGAGATGGGAAGTAACGAAGTACAAATACTTCGTTACTGTACTCAAGTAGATTTTTCTGATATTTTTACTTTACTTTACTACTTATTTTTATGGCGACTTTTTACTTCTACTCCTTACATTTTTACACAAATATCTGTACTTTCTACTCCTTACATTTAAAAAAATGGTCTCGTTACTTTAGTTTTTAATCATTTCAATGGAGTTACCGTTATTATTTTTCACGTCATCAATACCAAATTCAATCTAATTGGATGGGAATCTACGTTGCATTTGATGCACCACTACGAGATGAATCGACAGATTCGGTGGTATTCATTGGCGGCAAATCATTGCAGCTTGGTGGCGGTGGCGTTAGCATAGTAGCATGGACGACGAGATGATTGAAAATGAACACAACGGAGATCTAGTCCTATTGGCAGACATTCATTTAAAATGTAGGCAACAGCATGAAAAAAGTGGTTTCTACTTTTACTTTTATACTTTAAGTAAATTTACAAGCCTGTACTTTATTACTTTTACTTGAGTAAAGAAGTTTAATCAGTACTTCCACTTTTACCAGAGTATTTTTCAACACAAGTATCTGTACTTTTACCGGTACTCAAGCAAGGAAAGTGAGTACTTTTGCCATCTCTGATATCCAGATTAGCATAAGATATATATTTAAAAAAATAGCCTGAGAAAAAAAAATCTGTACATTTTCAAAGTGTGGTTTCAAAATTTTTATGATCATCTAAATAATTAATAAAAAAAATTGTTAACTTCAAAGAAAGTAAGAAGTTTGTGGACAAAAAATGCAGCGTTTACAGTATGAAATGAAATTACAAGAGTAAGTCAGTGATTTTTACTAACTTATATCAAGGTTTTAAAAAGAGAAACAGAAAATAAACAAGCAAAAAATAAAGAAATTACTGAAACCAGCCTGAGCAACTTAGACCAGTTAATAGAGATATTATTTTTACAAAAATTGACACAACACCAAGCTATAATTTTCTGCGTCCTTGACAAGATTTTATTATTTTGGGGTGATATTGATCTGGATAATGCAGCGTACGAGCTGACATGAATGCAGCATGGAGATTAAAGACAGTGCAAGTACAGATTAAGTGTATGGCAAGCCTTTAGTGCATTAAATAAGGAATATAGTTCAACGACAGGGTGCAATTTTCTTCTGCTTGCTCGAAAAGAAAGCACCCAAAAAGCCAATATTTAGGATTTATGACTTAACTCATGTAATGACAACATCAAGTTGTTTATTGATGGTAAAGAATTTATGTCAAACCTCCTTGATGGGACAGAGTCCAGATTTCCATATCTCAAGTGGAGTCCAGACCCCTTGGTTTGAACTTGTAAAGACTTTTAAAGCTAAAATAAACCATTTTAACACAGTCCACAGAGGGGCTCTGCAATTTGATCACATGAAAAACAATTTTATTTATCTATTAAATTTGTTACTGAGATTTATTTCAACCAAACCATATAGTTATACATGTTTACAGACAAGTTTTGATAAAAAATGAAACTGAACAATTTTATGTATTGAACTGGTTATTTTCATTCAAGAGAAAAGATTTTTGAGTTGAACATCATTCCTTTTTGAAACATTAAAAATGTATCAAACAGTTTAATTCATTGGTAGATTTTCTAAATTATCACTAAGAATGCACACAGTCACCTTTCTCAAAACAAAGTTATTGCCATTAGACAGATGAATCTTTCCTCCTTGACTCCAGGTTTGCATGGTTTTCCTGAATCTGAATTCCAGTTTATAGACTCCATCTTTGTAGTTCTTTACTGTTAATTAAGGCTGCATGTTTGGATCTGTGGGAACAAAAAATTAACATTTTAACATGTTGGTACAAAAAGTTTTAGCAGCATCAACTTTTCATAGATGTTTTGCTGGTACTTCTACAGCCAGAATACCCAGTACAGCAAAGGTCTTCAACAGGGGGTCCGTGACCCCTAGGGGGTCCATGGAGGTACTGAATGAAGTCGTGAAAGTTTTGGTTTAATTAGACTTTTTTTTACATTCCCCCCTGCAATTTTTTCCACTAATTGAAATGTCTTTAAATCCATATTAACATGAATTCTACATACTGTAGTAAACAGATAAATGAAGGCAGGAGATGTCTTTCAGTCATCAATGCACACATTTAGCAACACACAGGAGCTCTTTCAAGCTGGGCACCGTTTCATTCACAACACCTGTCCCATCAACCAGGAATCAGAATCAGAAATACTTTATTAATCCCAGTGAGAAATTACTTTCCTTGTATGACCTCATCTGTAATAGAGTGACTATAGGAACAGTTTCATATAACACAATTTCATACAAAATATATAATTAGGGGGTCCCTGCCCCATCTTGCCATCAGTTTTGGGGTCCTTGGTCTGGAAAACATTAAAGAACCCTGCTGTACACAGGGGCGGAGCTAGATGGGGGGCCAGGGGTGGCCACGGCCACCTTTAGCCAATCATTGGCCACCCCTTTGGCCACCTCTACCATTTTCCCCCTCTAATACAGATTGTGGCAACAGTAATACTCTGAAGTGGAATATTCAAAACATTTTAATTTTTCACATATTAAAAATTACTTGACAACAAAAACACTGTGGTTAATTATGCACATCAACATACTAACGTTAAAGATGATAAGTAAAGAATTCAAGTAGAAATAGATCTTGTGTTAAATAGGGTAAAGAGAGAATGTGTCTCTGCAAGTCATCTAGGAGCCTTCAGCGAAATCATCGATAAATATCTATTTAAATAAAAAGTTATTAATCAATTTGTGCAGATATTAGTATTTGTAAATATCAATTTTATGCAGAATGATTACTGATAAATGTAGGTAAGTAATGACAATGGAAAAGATCTTCGCCCAAAACTCAAACCTCAAAGAATTTTATCCACTGTATCTTTTATCTAGAAAGCACGGATGTTTGAATATATGCGTCTATTTGTTAGCAAAGGCTGAGGGAAAGTATAGTTTGTCTTTATTTAGAAAATATTGATGTTTTGCTCATTAATTTTCCTGTTGGAACAGTGTAGACTGACCCTGAGGTTCTGCCGCGGCCACCCCTTAGTGTACAATGGTTATTGCCCGGCCACCCTTATAAAAAAAATTATGGCTACGCCTCTGGCTTTACACAGTAATAAAATACAACAAAGTGTTACTTTAACACGTACAGAGTTGAATATAACTTTTTATAACTTATTTCATCCCAAATTAGTGCTAAATTCAACTTCTCTGAGTTAAAATCACTCATTTAGTGACAAAATCTGGCAGACCTTTCAGAGACTGGCGGGAAATCGACAGCATATAGTAAAAGTTACACTGCATGGCTGTCATATATTTAACTATTAACTCCAACACTTGAGCAGATTTACATTCAGTATAGCTATAAATACACTAGAGTGAATTAAGTTGACTGAATTTCTAATAGACTTTTTTTTTTACTACAGCACACCCTTCCTGTTCACAGCCCTAATCTACAAAGTTTTTCGGGAAACCTGCACAATGTTAGTTTCAAAAGCATTTATTTCCTTCCCTTGGAATTCAAAAATTATTATTGGATCGAAATGAAAGTAGAGTAAGATCAAAAGACCAAAAATCCTAATGTATTGGTGAAAGGTCTGAATTGTTTACTTGTTGTTTTAAAGAGTTTCTTTTCTTCTTTTTGTTGTTTTTATACTTTTTAGAATGTGGGAATACTTCTGCATTAATAAAAAGGCAATTAAATTGATAATTTTTGCTGAATGTCATTATTTGAAAGATTAGTGTTTTCAATGATTTTCATTGTAGAAAAAACAATCTCTGCAGTTTGTCCTGCTTCCGTTTTTTCCCACTGCCGTGAACGCAGCATCAGAGAGCAGCTCATCACCAGCCTCCGTCAGGCAGTCAGGTGTGGCCGCCGTGGCTTGGAAGCATTCCGACCGGAGAGAGCGCTGTTCCAACGGGCTCCGACGAGGCTACAACTAGCGTCTGCCGCGGGGCCTGTAAACATGAGCCGCTGCTCGAGCACCGAAGCCACCGGATGACCGAAGTAAGTGTTTAGTGTTACCGCAGCTGCTCCGGAGTTTGTCCGGACAGTTGGAAGTTTCCTTACGTGCCAGATTCAGGCCCGCTCCGTCATTCCAGGCAGGAAAAATAAACCTGGTCGAGTTACTGTCAGTTTCGACACAAGCCTACAAACTCAGTTTAAAACATTTGAATGGTCGTTTAATACTCACAGCGGCCTTGTGCAGTTTTATAACCGTTTGTTGTATTTATTTAGGGAATTTAACGCGGATCAGGAGCGACCTCCCACCGGTTCATAGCTGAAACTTCTGACCGTTGGTCCGAGCAGCACTTTCACTTCCAGGAAACATTAGTAAATTGAGAAATAGTTTCACTACAAGTTACTCATTTCAATTTGAGACAAAGGAAACGATGCAGCGAAGTAAAGAAATACAAATAAAAAATATACATTTGTGGTTTTGAACCGTTTTAGGTTCCACTATCATGGCATCGAGTCCGTCATTGTTTTTATTTTATTGAGATTTACATAAACTATTCATGAACGAGTAAATATTCCCCAATGTTTCTAATGTGCTGATAACTCGTTTCATAGGTCATTAAAATGTAAAATTAATTGTTTAAAGTGAATTTGTTTCAACCAAAAAGTTCCTGCTTCAATTCCTTGGGAAATGACTTTAAAGTCCAAATGTCCTCATAGTTTAAAGCCCCCAAAAATATATTATAATTATAAAAAAGATTTATAATCTTTCATTTTCTTTTCCTCCCAATACAGTCATAGGTACTTTTTGGAAACAGCATATAAGAGTTACACCCTTCCAAACCGGAAATGCACTTCCATATAAGGACAACAGCATCTCTCGTCATCAAAACCGTTCACTGTAATAGCAGAAAAACCTGTTATCTATATATATAAAAAAAAATGTTCTTTAGGGGTTTAGTAGATTAGGTTTTTAACTACTTTATGGTGACAGAAAATTATTTAGTGAGCAGTTTTGTGTTTATGGTTAAGTTAATGGTATGACAGATCTTACTCTCTAAATCTTTTTTTTTTTTTTTACACTATGTTGTTTTGGTGCAGTTACACCTGAACAGGTATCTTATTTGGAGAAAAAGTAGGACAGGGTTAATAAAAGGTATGATTCCAATTTTGGGAATTTGGGAGTTGCTATGTCAGTTCAATTATAGTTAATGATACTGGTCAGAAGTATGGCAAAAGTTGAGGTTAAATGCTGGGAGAATGAAGTTTCTAAAAATAATCATTTAGTTTTTTTTCATTAGTGTTCATTCACCAATGGGAGTAGTTGCAGGTGGTCTGAGCTCACCACACTGTGCTTTTAAATCCTTCCACATGTTCATCTTTTTCCTAAAAGCCCAAACACAACTGAAAATGAAACTTGAAAATAAGATGTCCTATAACCAGCATGTCACTGCTGCTGGTAAAATAGATCCTAACTTTTGATTAGTTAGTCAATTTAAAATAAATTAGATTAAAATTCATGCCTAGCTAGTCTTTTGACGGCAGTAATATTAACAGATAAAATTAATTCTTGAGCTGCAGCATGCTAACAAAAAATAATTTTCAAATCGTTTTCCAACTCAAATAAGTATTTACTTCTGTTTTAATAATTAAACTCATGTGAGATTAAAAAATAATAATGAAAAGTAAAGTAATTGTAACTGTAAGAGCCATATTTTAAAGTCTCTGTTAAATTAGTGTCTTTTATACCTATAAAAAAAAGACCAAAAACCATTTGCTAAAGATAAAGTAAAGTTATAAACACCAACTTTCGATCCTGATAGTTTTGTAGTTGTTTTTGAGCTTAAATTGAATTATAGCAGCAGGTTCAATGAGAAGAGGTATTGATTAAAGTGATAATTATGGTCTAAATCGGAGGTCTTCAACAGGGGGTCCGCGAAGGTACTGCATGGGGGTTGTGAACGTTTTGTTGATTACGGTAAACTAGTTTTCTATTCACCACTGCTATTTTTTCCACGAATTGAAATGTCTTTAAATCCACATTAACGTTAATTCAACAAACTATAGTAAACAGATAAATGGAGGCAGAAGATGTCTTTCAGTCATCAATGCACACATTCAGCGACACACTCTCTCTTTAAAGCTGGGCACAGTTTCATTCACAACACCTGTCCCATCAACCAGGAATCAGAATCAGAAATACTTTAATAATCCCAGGGTGAAATTACTTTTGTTACATTACTCCATCTGTAATAGAGTAACTATTGGACCAGTTTGATACAACACAATTTCATACTATATATAATGTGTGTATGTGTATATATATATATATATATATATATATATATATATATATAATAAGGGGTCCCCGCTCCATCTTGCCATCAGTTTGGGGGCCCTTAGCCTCAAAATCGTTGAAGACCCTTGGTCTAAAACTCCTTGGATGTTTGTAAATTCTCAGTCTTCATGGTTATGCCAACCACAAAACAGGGCTGATTCAGAGGGTAAATGGGCACAAGAACTACTATTAATGGTACATCATGAATTGGTAATCCTTCAGAAAAACTTTGTATGCAGCCAAACTGAGCTACTGGCATGTAAAAAAAAAAACAATGAAAAAAAAACAAAAAAACACAGATAACAGGACTCTGTCCCTTTAAATTTCTCCACTGTGAGATCAATAAAGCCAATCAATCAATTTAAACCAAATGTCTTGATTTAAATTCTTGGAGAGTTATGTTTATATCTGAATCTTTGGTTGACCCACAGCACCATGCTGATGCTCAGTTAATGGACACTAGCATGAAATGTGGTTCTAATCTGCCTACGTTTAAAATATGTTAAGAATTGAGAATCTTTATTTAATGTTGCGAACATACTGTAATGATGTTTTTTTAAAGACATTCCTTCAGAATGAAATTGGTAAACTCTCCACCCTGGGAGAAAAAAAACCTCTAAGATCATTATGAAATATTAAAGAGTCTTAAACTAGGAATGAAATTAGAAACATTTATAGAAGACATAAACATCCCTGAAAGGAAAACATCTGTGGAAATTTAGTCTTTAGAAAAAGTGCAGCTTGGGCCTGAGAAGTCCATGCATTTGGCTGGTTGTCTAATTGATAATGAACTGGAGTGTTCAATGCATGTGAAATAATTTGTGTGTGCTTCTGTTTTAGCATCAGTGATGACAATTCTTCTCATTTTACCATGAAGTGAGGAGTATTTGTACCAAAGAGAGGATATTTTGCTGGTTCATCCTTTATTTTTTGCTCATGGTTAAGGACTAAATTGAATTTAGGGCTGGCTATACACTCGTAATGGTTAGGCCTGGTATTACTGTCAGGGTCAGGGCATAGAAAGGGTTAAAAAAGGACTGACAATCAACATCTGGTCCTCAATGCATATAGCAAAATGGCATAAGAAAGAAAGTGTGTAGGATGGGGAACAATTGCCTTCAGAGCTTTAGGAAACAAACTATTTTAGTCAGTTTGCTTTGGATTTGAGGATCCTGTTTTGTATTTTGTGATTGAAATGGTCAACTGGTGGATTTCCCAGGTGGATGTGATCTGTGGTTATACATCTGGCCCTTTTCTGGACTCTTATGCTGAGTCCAGAATCATATTTTTTAAAAGACATCCCACAATGTGCTGTTTTCTAAGCTTTTTGTATCCCAGCCTATTAATGGAAAGTTGAACATAAAGGAAAAAAAAGTGCCCAACCCACTGGGAGAACCGCAGCCTGGAGAGGATGTGAAGTAGATTCTATTCAAGAGGTTCTGGGAGCTCCACCAGGTGTGGATGGACGGACAGACATGTCCCATCTCAGCCGGGACTGTTGCTCAGTGGTCCAGAGTTTCTTTTCAGAAATTAAGATCCTGCAGCCTGAAGGAAGAGAACTTGAGGTTACTTGAGGTTGATTGTTACAGTTTCACGTTTAGTGTTATCTCCTGGTTTCTTTTTTTCTCATGCAAATTTTGAGTTTTTTTAGCAGATATGTTATGCCACACCGACCTTTTCAAGTTTACTTTACCCTTGGCCAGTTGAGAAAGGCAGACCACGTACTATCATACTGATGCATTTTACCAAGAAGACTGTATGTCACTTTCTCATAACAAGCCAATTTAACCATAGTCGTCAGCCGTTCATAAGGAGGAGGGTTCTTTTTCATCCAGTACCTTAACAGGATCCTTTTTGCTGTGGTCAGAGCCAGAACCAGCCACCTCTTGTCAAAAAGTGAGAAATATGAGTCCGGGAGTTCTGCTGTGAAAAATAATATACTCAAACATATTTTCATATGCTGATATCAAATAGATTTTTAAAAACGCGGTATCGATCTATTTTACTTTTAGAATCTGGTGAAATTTCATCGTTCTGTTACAAACTCTCGTGATATTTTGCAAATTCTTGTGAGATTTTGTTAGTAAAATAGATCGATTCCGCGTCAATATATCAACATATAAAAATATGGCAAAAGTTTGTGAATTTTCGGGGGATTTCGTAGCATAACGATGACATATAGCAATATTTCATTAGTAAAAGAGATTGATATGGTGTTTTTAAATGGCAATATATCAGCATATGAAGATATTGGGATATTTTAATGGATCAATACTAGACACTAGACAGTTCTGCGCATGTTGTAATGATTTTAATTGATCTAACGCTTGGTGATGTTTACACACCTCATCATCGGATAATTTTATTTGGTGTTCATGTAAACAGAGATTTTGAACTTCCAATCAACCAAGATTTATATTGAATCAGAGAAGTGTTGTGCATTTTAAACGTAGCCTTCCTTTTTTCCCCTACTGATTGAATTTATCAATTTTTTTCCCTCACTTAAGTTTCATATTTAAAGAAAAAAATACAATCACATGACTTTCAAAACCAAGCTTTTATTTCAATCATCCCCAATTTTTTTAATGGAATTTATAAAATAGTTTTGTGTTTTGAAAGCAAACCAATGTAAAAAACAAAAACAAAAAATGAAACGTAAATTCAGAAATGTTTGCAAAATGAATAGGCCTCTATATGAATTTATCAATCATTTGATGAATATATAATATTTTCATTATTAGGCTTTTTACCTCTGGAGTGTGACCCTCGGAAGAACATGAATAAAATGTGGAAAGTTTATATTTTCTTATCTGTTATTGGTTTTCCACACATTTTTAAACATATGTTGGTATTTTCGTGACCCATTTCTACGCTGCCAGCTCTTCTTGCCGGTGTCGGCATTTCAGGTCGTGTTCCGGTGAAGTCTGAGGGCTGAGAGGAAGAGGAAGATGAGGAAGTTATATTTAGTGACTCAGCTGCTGTTTGAGGGGCAGCCTGGGAGAGGACAGGAGGGACACAGGCTGTAAGAATCAACTAATAATCGCACTGATCTGTCCAACTGTGTTTTTATTTCAGGTTCTCTGGATCGTCCCTCTATAGAAGTGAGATTTTTGTTCGTGCCAAGAAACGGGGAACAAGGTGACTTCACCTGACCACTTGGGAAAGTGAAGTGAAATAAAGGGATCGAATACAGGAACAGAAAGAGGAACTCCAGCTGCTTTAAAGAAACGTGGCTGCATTGCTGATTGAATTGATCCCCAAAGAGAACTAGAGAATGCCTCGGCAAAGGAGTAAGTGTGGATGCAGAAGTGCTGCTCTGACTCGGGTGTGAATTCCCCCACAGCAGGGGTGAGCTGCATCCTAACGTGGACACATGCTGCTGGTGGCGGCTGTCGAGCATGAGTCATAAACATTGCAGCCCGGTCGGATTGCCAAACGGAGCCGCGGTTTCACTCTGAAACCAAACAGATGATGTGAAACTGGAGCCCAGCTGAACGACAAGTGCAGCAGATTCAACTGGAAATGTCCCCCCACTGGAGCGGGTGACGTCAGGAGGCGGAAGGAAACACAAACTGCATGTGCACCTGAAGAGGGCAGAGGTCACCTCCTCATATGAAACTGGTTTTACTGGGAAAGTCGACAAGAGGCCATCGAGATGGCTGGGAAAGACTACAATCATCTCTTTAAGCTGCTGATCATTGGAGACTCCAGTTAGTATGTTTAGACTGCTTTAAATCACATCTGGAAATGATGTGGAAACAAAACGCCTAATCATTCATTTCTGATTCCTTTCAGCAACATTTGTGTCTGACTCAGGGTTTCCTCCCTAAACTGGGAAGTTTAATCTCCTTAAGCACAGAGAGCTCACAGATGGACAGAATAGAAACTTTACTAGATCCTTCCTTTGGTCTAAAACAAGAATGAACTTTTATCTCCCATCTGCAGCTGGTGGGTCATCATAGTGAGGAGGAGGAGGACGACAGGTCAGGGTTAATCGGCTGCTAATAAAGCATAGATGCTGCATTAAAATAGTATAGAATATATATATATTATGTATATATATTTTTTTATTATATGAGAAAAAAGACCCAGCTGTTGCTGGTTTTCTGTGTTTTAGGTGATATGATCTCAGTTTCAGATTTTCCATAGACACAAGAAAAAGAAATACAAATTTTAAATGTTTGAGCTTCACGATTATTGTGCTGCTGTTTGATAAATTTGTGCTTTACTAGATTTACAGTTTTTTCAAACAAATTTTTTTCCCTTTAGTTAAGTGGTTGTTGGAATGTTATTTTTTACACGCATGAGATGGCCATCTAACAGGTTGCTTTGACATGACGTCACTAAACAGGAGGAGGGCAGAAAATACAGTGGCTATAGATCTGCTTTATGTATATATATATATATATATATATATATATATATATATATATATATATATATATATATATATATATATACACTATATTGCCAAAAGTATTTGCTCACCTGCCTTGACTCACATATGAGCTTAAGTGACATCCCGTTCCTAATCCTTAGGGTTCAATATGACGTCGGTCCACCCTTTGCAGCTAGAACAGCTTCAACTCTTCTGGGAAGGCTGTCCACAAGGTTTAGGAGTGTGTTTATGGGAATTTTTGACCATTCTTCCAGAAGCGCATTTGTGAGGTCGCACACTGATGTTGGACGAGAAGGCCTGGCTCTCAGTCTCCGCTCTAATTCATCCCAAAGGTGTTCTATCGGGTTGAGGTCAGGACTCTGTGCAGGCCAGTCAAGTTCATCCACACCAGACTCTGTCATCCATGTCTTTATGGACCTTGCTTTGTGCACTGGTGCACAGTCATGTTGGAAGAGGAAGGGGCCAGCTCCAAACTGTTCCCACAAAGTTGGGAGCATGGAATTGTCCAAAATGTCTTGGTATGCTGAAGCATTCAGAGTTCCTTTCACTGGAACTAAGGGGCCAAGCCCAGCTCCTGAAAAACAACCCCACACCATAATCCCCCCTCCACCAAACTTTACACTTGGCACAATGCAGTCAGACAAGTACCGTTCTCCTGGCAACCGCCAAACCCAGACCCGTCCATCAGATTGCCAGATGGAGAAGCGCGATTCGTCACTCCAGAGAACGCGTCTCCACTGCTCTAGAGTCCAGTGGCGGCGTGCTTTACACCACCGCATCCGACGCTTTGCATTGCACTTGGTGATGTATGGCTTGGATGCAGCTGCTCGACCATGGAAACCCATTCCATGAAGCTCTCTGCGCACTGTTCTTGAGCTAATCTGAAGGCCACATGAAGTTTGGAGGTCTGTAGTGATTGACTCTGCAGAAAGTTGGCGACCTCTTCGCACTATGCGCGTCAGCATCCGCTGACCCCGCTCCGTCAGTTTACGTGGCCTACCACTTCGTGGCTGAGTTGCTGTCGTTCCCAAACACTTCCATTTTCTTATAATACAGCTGACAGTTGACTGTGGAATATTTAGGAGCGAGGAAATTTCACGACTGGATTTGTTGCACAGGTGGCATCCTATCACAGTTCCACGCTGGAATTCACTGAGCTCCTGAGAGCGACCCATTCTTTCACAAATGTTTGTAAAAACAGTCTGCATGCCTAGGTGCTTGAATTTATACACCTGTGGCCATGGAAGTGATTGGAACACCTGATTCCAATAATTTGGATGGGTGAGCAAATACTTTTGGCAATATAGTGTATATATATATTAGTGCTGTCAGACTATTAAGAATTTTAATCACGATTAATTGCATAATATCAACAGTTAACTCAAGATTAATCCCAAATGAATCGCATATTTTATCTTTTTATTTTATTTATTTTATTTGGGCATTTTAAAAAATACAAATGTGCAATAATGTAAAAAAAAAAAAACTTTCTTATACAGTAAGTTTTTTTTTATTATTATTTTTTAAAGCACTTTTAAAAAACTAGAATAAAAATATCCTGGTTTAAATTCCGGCCAATAATTATTCAAAAATTGTAAAAAAATTACAAAACTACAGAACAGTAAACAGTACTTCAAAGAACTCCATAAAATTAAGTTTTTTCTCAAACGTAGGACAAAAATAAAGATGTACTGTTAAAATAAAGTGCACATTCCGTTATGAAATTCAGACTTAATTCAAATAAAATGAAGTTACTCACAAAATAATAAATAAATCAAACAAATTTACAATAACTGGGCTTTGCAGTCATCTCAACAACATAACATTTTACATGTAGAACATTTTCAAAATGCTTTAATATTCCTTTGGTCTGAACAGGAATTGCAGCAGCAGTGCATTCCACATGACTTCATTTATTTTTTTGTCTTGTTGGCACTAAGCCAGTGAGACGCTCGTTTCTTCTGGACGACATAGACATAGGACTCAGGTTTTGTCAAGACAGCCTTCTGGGATAACTTTAAAATGAAACTTATCATTCAGGATACCTTGTCTGCTGGCCATTTTTGCTCATTCAAAGCACGGGTCTGTTATGCTGCGGTCTCTCCCAAAACTTAGCGTTCCTGAAGCTACGGAAAGCGCCGAGGGTAAAACAAACAGTACAGCGAGCACTGCGGAAAAATAAAGAACAAAAGCGCACGGTGCGTTCGTTTTGATGCGCGATTAACTTGCGTTAAAAAAAATGTCGCCGTTATAGTCTAAAGCAGTTAACGCGTTAATAAGCCCATTTTATGTAATTTATGGCTGCTTGATGTTTCGAGCTTAGAACATGTTCCAACTGTCAAACATGGTGGTGGCAGGATGATGCTGCTGGGTTGCTTTACTGTAGGATGTAGAGCGGAGGGAGGACGACCTTCACATCCTTATAACTTCTCTTTAGGTCAACGACTAGATGGTAAAAACTTCAATTCAGTTGGAGTATCAGCAGAACCATGATCCAGAACTTGGAGGCTAGATCCTGCTAACGTTTAGCTTCATGGATTATTTTTAAAAGGCAGGTTTGATGCAGGGAACCAGCCTATCCAGGCAGAATTATGCCGACTAGCCTAATGTGGGTGTGTATGCATTTATTTGAGCCTCTGCTTAAAAATAAGAGCCTTTTTGGGTCAGATAGTTTCAACAATATGGCTTTTTTTATTTTTTTTATTATAATTAGAGATGTTAGTTGTATAGTTATTTCACCCTAGTAAAGTATTGAAAGCCCCCAAATAATTATTGAATGCTGAGTATTTTACATTTTGAACGGTTTGAACCAGAAATGGATCTACTAGAGATAAAATACTGACAACTCTTAACGACTCCAGTGAACCACTATTAGAAACAAGCTTATATCTGTTTAAGATTTAAGGACAGGTGAATAATCAGCAGCTATAAAATGATCTGACAGCAGCTTCTACTTGAAAAACGTTGCTTTTCTGTGCTTTAAATATTTAAATTCAAATGATTAATAGAATTAGTCAGTTACAGTAGTTCCTGGGACAATTTATCTTTTTTGATAAAATAAATCACAGCTGCCGACTGGGCCTGTTGTTGTTGTTTTAGAATCTGTTAATGAAGCAGTGTTTTGGTTTTGGTGACAGAAGCTATTTTCGGTGCCGCTGTTGGAGCTGAGTCACAGTAGGTCAGCTTCCTTCCTTATTGCCTCTGTCTCATCTGCAGCTGAGCTCCATGTCAGGACGGAAACCAGGCTTTGGAAGCAGATTCCTAAAATCAGAACATGGTTTCAGTTTGATTGCAGAAAAATGGTCATTTTCCTGAAACGGGCGTCTATGTTTCACTCTCATTGTGTTGCATTGCGTTTTAAGTTTTTGGGGAGATACTTGCCAATAGTCTTTCACACCAACATGTCCTATTTTTACAAACTAATGTGCGTTTCAGTGAATGAGAACAAGAACTAAAAGTAATTTTCATAACCAAAGATTTATTACACATAAAAATATGGATTTAAAGCATTTCTGGTATTTTTATTATTTAAACAACAAATAAAACCTCAGTCTAATTCTATGCTCTAAACCAGCTATTTTTAACTTCTTAAAGAAAACTGCTCTAGAACTGAGCGGACCAATCACAGCGCTGGAGGCAAGGGTTTACACATGTGCCAGAATTACCCATAATGCAACAGCAATCTTCTGTAACCAAAACTCAACAGTATAGCATCAGGGGAGCTATGTTTTTTATGATATATATATATATATATATATATATATATATATATATATATATATACAGGTGCTGGTCATAAAATTAGAATATCATGAAAAAGTAGATTGATTTCAGTAATTCCATTTAAAAAGTGAAACTTGTATATTATATTCATACATTACATACAAACTCATATATTTCAGATGTTTATTTTGTTTAATTTTGATGATTACAAATGACAACAAATGAAAATCTCAAATTCATCATATCAGAAAATTAGAATATTACTGAAGACCAATAAAAACAAAGGATTTATAGAAATGTTGGCCAACTGAAAAGTATGAACATGAAAAGTATGAGCATGTACAGCACTCAGTATTTAGTTGGGCCTCCTTTGGCCTGTATTACTGCAGCAATGCGGCGTGGCATGGAGTCGATCAGTCTGTGGCACTGCTCAGGTGTTATGATAGCCCAGGTATCTCTAATAGTGGCTTTTAGCTCTTCTGAATTGTTGGGTCTGGTGTATTGCATCTTCTTCTTCACAATACCCCATAGATTTTCTATGGGGTTAAGGTCAGGAGAGTTTGCTGGCCAATTAAGAACAGGGATACCATGGTCCTTCAACCAGGTACTGGTAGCTTTGGCACTGTGTGCAGGTGCCAAGTCCTGTTGGAAAATGAAATCTGCATCTCCAAAAAGTTGGTCAGCTGCAGGAAGCATGAAGTGCTCTAAAACTTCCTGGTATGTGGCTGCGTTGACCCTGGACCTCAGAAAACACAATGGACCAACACCAGCAGATGACATGGCACCCCAAACCATCACTGACTGTGGAAACTTTACACTGGACTTCAAGCAACGTGGATGAAGTGCCTCTCTTCTTTTCCTCCAGACTCTGGGACCTTGATTTCCAAAGGAAATGCAAAATTTACTTTCATCAGAGAACATGACTTTGGACCACTCACCAGCAGTCCAGTCCTGTTTCTCTTTAGCCCAGGCAAGACGCTTCTGACGCTGTCTGTGGTTCAAGAGTGGCTTGACACAAGGAATGCGACAGCAGAAACCCATGTCTTTCATACGTCTGTGTGTGGTGGTTCTTGAAGCACTCACTCCAGCTGCAGTCCACTCTTTGTGAATCTCCCCCACATTTTTGAATGGGTTTTGTTTCACAATCCTCTCCAGGGTGCGGTTATCTCTCTTGCTTGTACACTTTTTTCGACCACATCTTTTCCTTCCCTTCGCCGCTCTATTAATGTGCTTGGACACTGAGCTCTGTGAACAGCCAGCCTCTTTAGCGATGACCTTTTGTGTCTTGCCCTCCTTGTGCAAGGTGTCGATGGTCGTCTTTTGGACAACTGTCAAGTCAGCAGTCTTCCCCATGATTGTGTAGCCTATAGAACTAGACTGAAAGACCATTTAAAGGCTTTTGCAGGTGGCTTGAGTTAAATAGCTGATTAGAGTGTGGCACCAGGGGCCATCAATTTTGAACCTTTTCACAATATTCTAATTTTCTGATATGATGAATTTGAGATTTTCATTTGTTGTCATTTGTAATCATCACAATTAAACAAAATAAACATCTGAAATATATGAGTTTGTATGTAATGTATGAATATAATATACAAGTTTCACTTTTTAAATGGAATTACTGAAATCAATCTACTTTTTCATGATATTCTAATTTTATGACCAGCACCTGTATATATATATATAGTTTTTTGCATCTCATCCACAGTTAGCTGATTGGTTCTGACCGGTTTCTGTATGGTCTTTGAAATCTCTATGGCGCTCAGTCTTAGCGACCGGCCTTACATATAAACTAATCGAACAAACTGGTTTATTGCTCTTTAATCGAGAACATAAAGTTAAATCTTTCGTTCTTAGATTTATAAGATTATCCTAAATATTATTCAATATTGGAGGTGAGTGTCAGAGCAGAGGTACCTACCATCAGTATTTCGCTGTGTTCCTCCATGTATTTCTTTTGTGTTTTGTCTGAAGCAGCATGAAGCAACCAGTGAAGCAGAGATCTTTTAGTTTTAGGTCCCTAACCAGCTCCACATCAGTTAATTTGATCATATTTACCTTTAAAATGACTGATCTGTGGATTTTGTCAGAGCGCTAGTGGGACATGGTGGTTCTCCAGCAGAGGGTCCTGGTTTCTCTTCACATGGAGGACGAGCCACATAGACTTGGTCAAAGAAGCTGTTCAGCTATATTAAAGCATATTAAGGGAACGTTTAGTGGAAGGTAACATTAGCTCAAACCTTAAGATGATTACAGTAGTAAGTTAACTTCTGATGACGTTCTAGTTGAGATAACGCTGAAGCTTTACTCCAGTTGCATCTCTGGTTCACTTCTGTATCTGTTTGGTTTTACTGGAAACAGGCCGCCACTGAGGCATGAGGAGGCCGACCAATCTGGTCTTTCTGGAGACTGGTTTTACTAACCTGCTAATCTGATCTCTGATCTGTTCCTCCCTCAGATGTGGGGAAAAGCAGCCTCCTGCTGCGCTTCGCAGACAACTCCTTCTCCGGTGAGTTGCTACAACTTCTACTTTCAGCTTAAAGGCAGAAACATTGAATCAAGTTCAGACATCTTTGGGAGGTTTTTTTTTTGTCTCAACATGTCTGAAGCTGAGTGAGGGTAAGAAGGTATGAGGAACACTGGAAATTAGTCATGCATACAAAAATGATCTCCTTGAGCAGTTCTGGAACACATAGATCTACAATGCTCTTTATTTAGCCCTCATTTAATTCTAAACTGCAAAAAAGTATTTAGTATTTACTCTTAAAGGTATACTATGCAACCGGTGTTGATTTTCCAGCGAGGCTCCCCCCAGAGGGCGAAAGTAAAAGTGCACTGTCATAAATATGCACAGCTGTTCTCCTGGTTTCTCCGTCAAGCCAGGCGCGGTTGTTTTGAGCTTAGACAGGCGAACGCAACAAATGACTAAGCATCTGACGCGCCACAAACGCGCTGCTGCTCGAGATGGAAAAATTGAATTTTTGCTGCTCGACGCGCCGTGTCAACCAATCAGAGAAGCTGATCTGGGAGCTGGCAGGGAGAGAGACACAGCACTGATGATCAGAGCGCTATGATCACTCCTCTTAAACAGTTTATTGACGCCTAAATTAACTTAAAATGCAGAAATCTGCCGGCAGAATATGTTGGCTTTTATTATCCTAGTGCCTGCAGTTTGGATTATTTAGATGAAAAACACCTACCAGCCACCGCGGTGAACCGCGAGGAGGCGACCTGGCCAGAGGCTGCTGTTGGAGGGATTCCTAATGTCGGCGCACCGCTGGTATGTCGGGGTCTGAGCGGCTCCGACAGAAAAAATATTGAAGGCAGGATTATAATCTGAATGAACTGACGGCACTGATTACGTTTTCAGGTGTATTTTCTCATTTAAACACATATTAAAACTAGTGTTGTACCGATACCAGTATCGGACAGGGCCCCGATACTGCCCTAAAATGGTGGTATCGGTATCGGCGAGTACCAACCAATAGGGCACCGATACCATTTTGAGAGCCATAAGTTTCTTCAACTATTGCCACCCATTCCTGGTAGGCAATAAAAAGTTCTACTGGATTCACTTTGTATTAGATTTTTTCCTGCTTCACAAAGGAAGGCAGCAGCTTGACAAAGCCATGATGGCAATTATTTTACATTATTATGGTATCGGTATCGGCCGATACTGCACAGCCAGGTATCGGTATCGGTATCGGGGCCAAAAAATGGCATCGGCGCAACACTAATTAAAACTACTTTATTCCCACTGATCACAGCAAATATAGCTGCAAGGCAGAGAAAGGATAGTGAAGCTCCGCCCAACGCGCGTCAGACACACTTTTGCAGCCAGAGCAGCAAAGCTGCTTCAGCCGCGCGTCAGAACTAACTCGTACAAGCAGTAAAAATGAAGCAGCAGACGCGATTTTGCTGCGTCCGGTGTGAAAGCAGCACTGCACAAAGATCGCCACTGTGCTGGCAACGAGCATGCCTTTAACTGGGGGTTGTAGCAGTTCTCGCCGTAAAGCAAGACCGACTCTCGCGACACTGTGGGTGCGGGTCGGTGCTCCTGCAATTGCAAGTGCGGTATTTCCCCCACAGACCACCAGGGCGGCCGAGAATACCTTTGTTCAACCTGAAATGACTCATTTAATCATCCAAAACGTTATGGAACACATTAATTAACTGAAAAATGTTGCATAGTGTTCCTTTAATTTGAATAGGTAAATAGAATATAATTTTTCACTCTTAAAATAAGATAATGAGCTATGCACCTGAAATAATACAATGCAATAGTTTTTTTCTTATTTTAAATGTAAATTGTCTTTTTCCATTGGCAGTTTCTGACTTCCCTCTTCAATTCAAGAAAAAAATGCACTTATTTTAAGAAAAAAATATTTAATTTTTTTTTGCAGAGTATACCTTAACCCTTTGGGTTTCTCATGTTGTGTTTTACTTTACACTCACCAGAAATATATATTTAAAAAATGAAAGGCAAATATGATCATAATATAATCATAATAATGATTTTTAACAAAACCTTTGTTATGAATGTCATTTTCATCAATCATCACAATGAAACGGATATTTGGGAATAATCTGAATCATTTTGAGAGAATATGCTTCTTAAAAAAACTGCCAATAAAATGTTATGTATCAAAATAGAATTAAAGTATTTGAACACTTCTGAAACCCCAGTATTTTCTTTAGTATTAACAATGTAAAAAATATTATTTTCATTATTTTAATGTTTAGAAAGGTTTCCAAAGTGAAGGTCATGAGCCACCAAGTGGGCGGAGTTACGAGATGGTTTTCACAATCATTGTGATCCCAGAGGTATATGGAATATTCCTTCAAATATATAGATGTAACTTTTATTTATTATTCTAGAATATTAAAAATACAATAAAATGTTAAAAGGCTTAATTAAATCAAATGTTTTTTCCAAACATTTCAGCCCTTGACCCCAAAAATACCACTATTACAGACTGGAGACCTCCTAAAAGTTGATCTTAACTTAATTGCATTGTATTTATTTACATTAAAATAAAGTAAAAAAAATATATTTCCATTTATATTAAATATTTTAGATTACTTTTAAATTACTTACTTTAATTATTACTTAATCCATTATTTTTACATCTACTTATTTCATATTACATTTATATTCATGGGACGTTCCACATGAATCGGGGATCAAATCACAATGGCTGTAAAACCATCCCATGACCCCCAACCTGAGAATTACAGAAGAGGGTTAGGGCCACTGGAAAAAAAAAAAAAAGTTAACTGATTTTAAATTTTTATTTTAATTTAGTATTCTGTAGTATCTCTAGTATTAATTCTGACTTTAATCTCAGAATTTTGGATCTTAATGTAGATGGGCACCATGAAGGAAAAGATGTGGAGCACTCAGCTTCACTGACAAAGATTCAGAGTTGTTTGAGGTGGCCAGTGACACATTGGTGGAAAATGAGGGAATTATGCAACTTTTTACGTGCCAGAGGGGTCCCCTCATTAATGGAGGAGCAGAAGGTCATTAAAACAAGAGAGCTAGTCTCTAAAACATACATGGCTATGGCTGGATGCTAACATGTTTGTTATTTGGCAGAATTCTGAGATTAAAGTCCGAATTCTGACTTTTTTCCCATACTAAACTGAAATAAAATTTAAAAATCAGTAAACTTTTTTTTTTTCCAGTGGCCCTAATCCTCTTCTGTAGAGAATCCCTGAATTTAATAATTAAATGGTCAATCATTTTTAAAAACATCAGAAATGATCCATTCGGTGTCACAAAAATAAACCGACCTAAAAATTAAAATTTATCGGCGTGCACAAATATGTAATCTAGAGTGATGGAATTATTTGAATATGTATTTTCAGAGGGTTCCCAGTTTGTTGTTATTTCAGGAGTCACTGGCTGAAATGTTTTCAAACTGCTGGTTTAAAGCAAACAAACCCATTAAAGGCTGGTTTAACAAATGGGCTCTTTTAGTATTAAATCTTTAGTTTTCCAGTGTATGCAAATTATGTTTTTTTTTTTATTTCTTTATTTAAAAGGCACTATGCATTTACATAGTCTACCTATAATCTGAAGAGATGCTAAAAAAATACAGGATTATATCCCAGACTGATTTCCATCCTCTGTTCCCTGCTGGGACCAGCCGAGCTACTCCACTTTAATTATTCCTTTGTTTTTGGAAGCAGCTGTGAGCAAATTAAACCTTAAAGCTCGGTGCATTAATCATAATTGTTTATTAACTCCCTGCAGGCAGCTACATCACCACCATCGGAGTGGACTTCAAGATCCGAACGGTGGACATGGAGGGAGAGCGGGTAAAGCTGCAGATCTGGGACACGGCAGGGCAGGAGAGATTCAGAACCATCACCTCAACGTAACGGAGAGACCTTTTCAGATATTCCGCTCGGCCTCCTGCAGAGCTTTCATGTTTGTTCTACCTACAGGTACTACAGGAACACCCACGGCGTCATCATTGTTTACGACGTGACAAATCCAGAGTCGTTTGTGAATGTGAAGAGGTGGCTGAACGAAATCTCCGACAACTGTGACAACGTCTGCAAGATCCTGGGTAGGTCGGCCTAAAGAACACATCGGGGCTCTGCAGACGTGATCACATGCCATCCTGATGCAGCACAGAACCAGATGTAATTTACTGGGATTTTATGTGACTGACTAACACAGCACCTTACTGTGATCATACTGTGACTAGACTTAGACAGATTTATTTTGTCATTTTGTATACACACGTGTAAACAAAAAGAAATTTGTTAAGAACAGCTCTCTAGACTAAACGACAAACTGAGCACATCCCTCTGAACACAGCCTCTCTAACATGAAGCATAGCAGTAGTAGCATTATACTGTGGGACATTTTTCCTCATCGTTGGTCAAAGTTGACGGAGACGTGTCTGGAGTTAAATCCAGGACATTCCTGACAGCAGCAGACTGGAGACTTGGAGAAAGGTCTACCATCTATGTTTTTTCTTAATTTATAGCTACGTATCAGTTTGTTACATTAAACACATTTCAGTTTGACCTTTATACTCACACAAAAAATTGTCCCAACGCTGCTTTAGATCTAACTGTTTGAGCTAATTTAACATCTCTTGTTGTTCCATGCAGACCTTTGCCATCAACACCTTAGTTTATAGATGTTTGAGATCTGCCTCTTTTTCAGTGTAGTCCTGTTTCTCTGACTGACTAACTGGATGTGCTCTCTTTGTCCTCTGACATGGAGGTTGGCTCTGAGCTCGTCTGCCTGGCTGTGTGTTTCCTGGATGGGGACGCCTGTGGAGCTGGTTGATGCTTACCTTTTGTATCTGTGCCTCTTTCTGTATGTCAACTACTATTTCCTTGAACCCCAGTCTGCCTCGGCAGATGGCTGCTCACACTGAGCCTGGTTCTGCTGGAGGTTTCTTCCTGTTCAAAGGGAGTTTTCCTCTCCACTGTCGCTACAAGAATGCTTGGTGTGAGGGATTGGCTTCTATGCAATGCAATCAAATGGTTTTCCTTAGATCGAAAACCTTTAATCAATTGACTGGATGATCTGGTTGAATTGTATCTCACTGTTTTGTGAATGGGCGCTATATAAATAAACTGAATTGAATTAAATAAACATTCTGTCTGCACAGAGGAAAATTCAGCCTCCTGGGCCCACAGACTGCTTGGAGTCTGATTTCTGATTCATTTGGCTAATTTAATGACCACTTACAAACTCCATGTAGAGCTTTGATTACCAGATGTGAGGAAAATAATTAGAAAATGTGGATCAAACCTGATTCACCAGCACATTTTAAAGCATTCATCCTAATAATAATGAATCATAAAAGTTGATGTTTTTAAAAGAATATATTTCACCTCTTTATACATCAACCCAATGACACTCCTCGGATATGTAAACATTAATGGTCAGAAGTTAAACCAGGTGCTCAGAGGTTTGTTCTTCGACACAATGTGATTTATAGAAAGAATAATTTATTCTTTGGGTTTCTAAGGTTTCACAGCAGAATAAGTGATTGTTCTTGTATTTCTAATTTTTCTGTTTTTCCTCAGTGGGAAACAAAAACGACGACCCAGCCAAGAAGAAGGTGGACACCCAGGATGCTGTGAGGTTCGGGGAGTCGGTGGGAGTTCGAGTTTTTGAGACAAGTGCCAAAGAAAATATAAATGTAGAAGAGGTGAGGTTTCCTTTTTATTGTTATTATGGTGCTTTCTTTAGACATTATTACCCATTCAGAGACTCGGATACTTTCTCCCTTACAAACTGTTAATGTTTGGAAGTTTTACTTGGTTAGAAAACCTAAAGCAGCATGTTTAATTGAATAATAATAATAATAATAATACATTTTATTTGTAATGCACTTTACATAAAAAAAAATTATCAAAGTGCTACAGGTAAAATCATCATAGAAGGGTAAACAACCTAATGTAAAACTAAACATCATGAAGTACAAAATAGTCCTCTGGAGATCAGACCTCCTTAAAACTGCTGTAAAAGATTAAAAGAAACGAATGATAACTGGATAAATTTTCAGGCGCTACCAGGAAACACTTGTTTTTGGAGGAATGAAGAAAAAAAAATTACATTTTTGTAGATTAGAAATATATTTTGTTGGAACCCAAGCACATACAAAATTTATACTTTTAATCTAACTAAAATAAAAATGGAAAACATTGATTGTAAAATAGAACCCTAACTGCATGTTCCTTAAATGGAAACATGGACACAACAGAAAGTAAGATAACTGGGTCATGAACAACTTTAATGGAAGAAAAAAAAACATTAATAAAGTATCTTAATATAAATTTTGTTTTGTTATAAAGAACAAAATAAGCCTCTTTATTTCATTTCCTTCTTTTCTTTAATGTATTAAAAAACATAAGTAATAAAACAGGATCTCTAGCTTCAAAACCAGCATTACTGTGAGGACAAACGTTTAAGCTTCATAAAGTCACCTTTTTGCAAGTAATAGTACAATTTTCTTTTTTTTGTAATTAAGGTTTCAGTTTGGCAACAGCAGAACAAAAACTCCAAATGTTTACTTTGAATTTTATACTTTTTGACTTGACAGAAAATCTGAACTCTTAACTCTATCATACATGATCATAACATAGGGTGACCATATTTTCATTTGGGAAAACCAGGACACCTTGGAGCGGGGGGGTGGGGGGGGGGGGGGGATCTCTGTTTCCATGCATAGAGATGTCTGTGGCATGCACTCACTTAACATAGGCCTACATAATCCTACGATAACATGATATTTACAGTTGATTTATTAAAAGCGCTTTTCAGTTAAAGTCAATAACAAATGATAATTTTATTCAAAATGCATTTATTAAAAATGCTTAACGATTCCTGTAATGACTGAATAGCACAATGAAAGAAATAATGTCTCATCTAAACATCCCTCACTTAACAATAAAAGTTAAAAATAACTCTCAACTCCCAATAATAGATGATACTCAGCCTTAGTAATGAACGAAAAAATTTCTTTTCTGTAGGCTATTGGAAAAAATAAATTAACAAATGAGCTAATTAACAAAAAAATACCTCTTGTGTAGCAAAAATAATTCAAAATGTACCAAAAACTAACTAACATATCAATAGACTATCATTACTTTCGGAGTCCAGGTGGCTTTCAGATCCTTGCACCTCCATTGGACACCGAGACATATGTGCCTGCTTTGCACACTGTGCACAAGGCCTCCCATGTATCTCGACCCGGTCTGAAAGCGGGGAAACTCTTTTGTAAATCGTCGGTAAACATACATTTGCGCTTTGGCATGTTGTTGGTGTACTGACAGCCACGCAATCTATCTTCTGATTAAGAACAGGGCTGGGCTCAGGGATTACGTCACATGCAGCGCCGTGCCCTAGTGCCTGTAAATTTAATGGTCCAATGAAGGTAATTTAAAAAACATTTCCTCACTTTCTAAAAAAAAAAAAAAAAAACGGGACAGGACGTGAAATACGGACGTTTGATCACCCTATATAACACCCAGATAAAATAGGTTTGCCAATATTGGTATGCTTTGAAAAAAGTATTTTTGGTGTGTTTTGATTTTTAAAAAATGCTTTCAGGTTCTTTGTGGGTTCTTTAAGGGGAGGAAATTCTGTGTGGTTTTCAAAAAATGAGGCAGGGGATGTTTACTGTTGTATCCCATATTTAAAAATTAACAGCCAACAGCTTCCTGTTTTTTGTACAAATGAACAGTTTCCTTTTTTGTTTTCTTAGATGTTTATGGCTTTTACTCGCATGGTGCTCCGAGCCAAGAAGCAGAGTCAGGACAGAGCTGAAAGGGAACGGGAGCGGGAGAAAGACACGGTCAACATGAACGCCCAGAGAGACCGCGACCGCCGGAAGAGAGGGAAGAAATGCTGCTGAGACGGAGAGCCGTCATACGGGACACTGTCTGGGTCATTATTCCTGGTTTAACCTGATGGATTCACAGTCTGCAGCACTGACCGCACGTCCACGCCCCCGAGTACCTAAAGGAGCATTCTGGTGTTTTTTTTTTTTAAAGGTTTTTCTGGGTTCTGATGCATAAAACTTTATTTGTACTGAAGGTGAACGTTTCTGAGAACTGCAGTCATTGTTCCTCTGAGCTCTGCCCTTATAGACTTCCAGATGTTTGAGGAAATATAAAACGATGCCTCTGAAGAGCCTCAGTCTGCTGATCTGATCCTATTAATTCATCTCTCCCCAAATTAAAAGACAGAAATCTGAAATATTGTGTGGTTTAATGAGACGAAGAAACTGGACATAGATGATCGGTGTCGTTCATCTTGATGAAATCAGTCTCGGCTTCTTTCTTACCCGAAGCTGCAAAAATTAACCATTGCAATTTTGTTTAGTTTTTTCAAATTTTCAGCTTTATTTTAGTGAAAACAGTGAAACTCCCAGCCACCTTCAAATAATTTGATTTTTATTGTTAAATACTGAAATTGGCAGATTCTTATAAACCATTCCTCTGTAAAAGGAGCATAATGGTTTGGAGGGATGCCAGCACAATCAGACGCTCATTTCAAACTGTCATTATCAGATAAAAACACCAGTTTGTTCCTTTAACTTCACTTTTCAACCAGTTTTTCAAAATACGTAACAAATGTCCTTCAAAAGGGAACCGTTTGTGACTAAATCGTAATGTTTTAAGGTGTGAAGAGTTCAGTAATTTACTTATTTCTGTCTAAATGATAAATCTTCACTGGACTCTTAATGTTTTACTGTCTACCATGAAGATGTGTTCAAAGCAAAATAAAGCAATAAATCTAGTAGTTTCTCTGTGTAACAGTGACTGAACTATTACAGCTCTAACAGGAAATAGCCTTAATGTCTTCCATCACGTTCTGCCTGGAATGATCTAAAAATGTTTATCTGCTGCTGTTTGTGATGCTTTAAAAACAAAATAAACCATTTAAGAAGTTTTTCTTCTAGAGTTTTGATGGTTCAGTGGAAACTTTGACTGAATACTATTCTGTTCCCTCAAAATATTCCCTCCACAATCATTAAAGGAAAAACATTTAATGAACCAGAGACAAAGTTTAGGGACAAAGAACAAAAATGTTTGAAGATCTGAAAATAATGAAAGTTGTTAAAATGTGTTTAGAGCTTTATCTGGAACAATGATTTAAAGTTTGACATGCTCTTTTTTTTTTAGCAACACCTTAACCAAATTATTGGCTTAATTTAAATATATTTAATGATTTTTAATGTGAATATTCAGGTCTTGGTGGGTATCTACTCTCCATGCAGGCTGCTCTTCTCCAAAACACGCCTAAAAGTCTGATCCGTCACTGAATGCGTCACGTGACCCAAATCTGCAGCAACTGTGTGATGCCATCATGTCAATATGGACCAAACTCCCTGAGGAATGCTTCCAGCACCTTGTTGAATCTATGCCACCAAGAATTGAGGCAGTTCTAAAGGCAAAAGGGGGTCCAACCCGTTACTAGCATGGGGTACCTAATAAAGTGGCCGGTGAGTGTATATATATATATATATATATAAAACTTGAGGGTTCTGTGCAGTATCTTTCCTGTTCCTAGAACTGCACTTTTCTGGATCTGCTGTAACCACACATCAAGTTAGGGGGCCCTGCCCCGAGTGGTCCAATGGCCATGGGCACCACTGATGCCTTGACCTTCCAGCTCCTCTCTGAGATCCTGGTATTTCTCTAGTTTCTCGTGTTCCATTTTCCTGATGGTGCAGTCACTTGGTATCACTATGTCAACCACAACAGCTTCCCTCCGCTTTTTTGTCTACCACCACAAGGTCTGGTTGGTTTGCCATATATATATATCTTAAAAAAAAAAGGGGGGCACTCAAACAACACAATATATCCTCAATCAAATAAATCATCTTCATCTGTGAAATCAAACTGTCCACTTAGGAAGCAACTGATTGACAATCAATTCCACCGGCTGTGATGCAAATCGAATAGACAACAGGTGGAAATTATTTTTTATTTTAGATTTCTGGATTATTTACACATTAAAAGAATAATACCTTAAACTAGCTTGTTGACAGATCATGTTAACTTACCTGGGTTTATTTTGCATTTGCAGTTAATGAACCATTTATGGTTCTATTAAGAAAGCACCTTTGTTGAAATTGAAAAGGTCGTTTTTTCGATCATATTTTTTTATGCCTTTAATTTTCAGGTATAAAAAAAATGTCAAGTTTTTTTCTAGTTTTACATTTTAGTGTTGTGAAAACCCTGAAAAATAATCTGAAAGTATTTGTTTCCAGTTAATGTAGATGTTATAGATTGATTTATGAAATAACTAAGTAAATCTTAAGGTTACCTTAATGTTGAAGAAGCGATGTAGATCGTCAGACTGCTGGTAAAGGATGAAAGCGATAAACTCAGGAAGCTTCTTAGACCAACACATTGGTTTATGTGGCACAGAAATTAGGAAGGAAACCAAAAGGTGGGACGTATCGACACCTGATCACCACATCCTCGCTCCGTTTGACTCCGATGTCATCTTATAAAAACTTTTAATAAGTTTAAAACTTCAGTAGTCAGAGATGACAAACTTGAAATGAATGATTGGTTTAATAACAGAATACAAACTTTAACTCTAAAGACTTTATTTTCCTGCTGCCTTCATGTCCCAGAAGGACAATGCATCAAACTGGAAAGTTTTCATGTATTTATTTTCTCTTATAAAACTGGTCTTTTTACAATCAGCCCCTCAGAGTCCCTGTTATGCAGTCTTTTTTCTTCCAGTTCTGTAATTTCCTTGCTGACCCAAACGCACCGTCTGGTCCTCCATCAGTTGGTTTTGGGGAGTCTGTAAATGTCCGCGGACACAATCAGCTGGTGATCCCTGACCTTCCTCTGCAGGAAGGCCTCCAGCTCGTTGATGTCCATCTCCGTGACGACGGGCCCCGTGGCGACAAACATCCGCAGCATGGAGTGGATGCGCTCCAGAGTCATGCTGTCCAAGTTGGTCAGCATTGCTTGGATGTAGGCCCAGAACAGCTGTGGAAACAACCAGATGTTAGTCAGCGAGGAGCAGTTCAGCTCATTCATCCGCCTCCATTTTATTCATTTAACAAACACATTTTTTAAATCAGCTTCATAAATATTTCTCTCACAGTTTTGGAGGAAGGATGCCACCATTTTTTACCAACAATGCCCAAGGTTCACACGGACGGAGTCCCCTAGGGGACATGGGGAATTTTTTTTTTCTTTTGCGTTCCCTCGCAAAAGTATTGCGTTACCTCGCATATTTTGCGTTACCTCGCAAAACCTTTTGCGAAAGTTTTGCGTTCCCACGCAAAACTTTTGCGTGGGAACGCAAAACCTTACTTCTGTCAAGTTAGAAAGATATTCACAGATTCGGACTTCCGGGATCAATATCTCTCGTTGTTGAAACACAAATGGCTCATCTTTCATGTCCTGATAGCACAGACTACGTATTACAAGAATCAAAAAGCGTTATTTTCGAGAAAAACGAGCCGTTCTCCCAGCTGGATGTATTACATTGATCTCTATGCACAGGCAATGGCCAGGCCAGTGGTTAGGGGCCGTCTGCAAATGGTAAAACAACAGCAAAATGTTGCAAAGAAAAATCAATAACTCCACTGCCATAAAGTGCAGAGACTTCAAAATTACCACACACACCAAGGGGCTCTTGGTGATCATACTACAACAGCTGGTTTGGAAAAATACACCTTTACTTTTTATTTTTTTATTTTAGACAGTCCCGAAAACAAAATTGGTTGCAATGGGAATTTAATGAAGCCATAAATCTACTAATGTTCAGGTTCCTCATAAACCAATATGAGACAAGATAAACCAAAGACGTTTAATTAATATTAAGTGTTCACTTCCAAAACTTCTGGCTTTTAGTTGTTTTCTCTGCATTTAAAAGAACTTTATTACCAGGAATAAAGACGATCAACTGAATAAAAAAGTGTGAATTAAAACTTTGAACTGCCTGGTTTTAAAATAAAATAATTTTGCAAAAAAATAAAAATAAAAAATAAAATTCTGCAGAATTACCCGACTTCTGGTATGTATTATAAAAATGGTGACGCCTAGCCCCTCCCCCCCTATAATTTCTCAAACTGGTTTCTAGTTTCCTTTACAATTCTAAAAAAATTAAACCTAACGTTCGATCTTCTTCTATTCAGTTAAAAAGGTTAGAAGAGTGGAGACCATCAATGAGTAATTTTTTTTTTACTGTAAATAAGTGTTTTTGTAAAAGTTGAATAGAATGAAGATGTGTGTAGAGAGGTGTGCATAAGTACATATGTTTATATTAACAGAAGTCAATTTATTTGCTCACTTAATAGACTTTTGGACTAAATCTGAATCATATGTTAAATAGGAATCAAAAAAAGTTTGTTGATAATGTTTGTATGAGTTAAACTTTACTGGATTGCCTGCAAACGTTACTTTGAAGTGTCATTAGATCAGTAGGTCTGTTTCTGCTGAGTTTTACCAACAGAGAACAGATATTAAAACAAGTTTGAAGTGATTAGCTCTCTAGAGCTGATTCTAAATAAATGTTGTTCAAAGAAATAAGCAGAAATCCACTGATTGTTTCTTTTCTAAACATTAAGGTCATGTCATAGAAACAGAGTTTAATGTTTTCTAATGTCACTAAAACGTTCCTGATCTTCATAAAACCAGTGAATGTTGATGCATTTCTCAGATGTTCTGCATAAAAAGGTGTGCAGACCTGCAGCTTCTCCTCCCTCTGCTCAGACTGGGTGGTGGTGTTGGAGTCCCTCTCCTCGTCGCTGTCGATCAGCATCACCCCTCTGTCCACCTTCTCCCGGGAGGAGCCCGTCTCCTGCACGGAGTAGCGCCCGGCAGCCTCCTCCCTCAGAACGCCGTGCTGCTGCCACAGAGCCAGCTTCCTGTGCACCAGCTCCTTCGGGGCGCCCAGCTTGGAGCTCAGCTCCTCCAGCGTCCAAGAACCTGACAAAATAAAATGGTGTTAGCTTTAGTCGAAGGGGGTAAAATCTGCAGAGAGGTCTGAACAGAAAGGTCAGAGTTCGTTTTCAGTCCCTCTCAGTCTTTCTTCTGCTAAAGCCCCAGATCTTTGACGGTGTGACGCTACCAGCAGAAACAGGCTGGGTGGAGAGCTCCTGCATCAGCTCCTTTCATAAATTAAATTAGGAGCTGAGCTTTGACTAGGCCATTCTAACCCATGAC